GACGGAGAAGTGAGGAGCGGGGGAGGGGGGCGCGGACATTTCGTTCGCGGACGAGAAGTGAGGAGCAGGGAGAGAGGAGAGGAGAGAGGAGAGAGGAGAGAGGGGAATTCGGTGCCCGGAGAAGTGAGGAGCAGGGAGAAGAGTGGATCGGGCAGCGGGGACAGGAGCAGGAAAGGGGTGCAGAGAAGGTTGCGCGGAGATTCAGTGCGAATGAACTAGCTACAACACGCAGCAGCAAGCGGACTCTTTCTTTGCCTTGAAAATTACGTTTTCAGACATAGGATATCGCTTTCGTGTCCTGAAAAACGTTTGTCTAACTCTTGGAAATAAAGTACGTTTTCATAATAAGCAGAAGTTTCCTGTCCAGGAGTAATTTGTGGACCAGTGGTTCAGTCTTTAGACCCTTCGTCTGCTTCAGTCGCGCCATCGCTGGAATGAATCTTCAAGAATCACCTTAGTTTGGCTTCGCTGCTTTTCCCCTTGTCTTCTTCTTTCAGCGACCTCAAAAACGGACTTTCTTTTGCGGCGAACTGCTCCTGGATTCTTGTCGCCATCGCAACAAACTTTGTGCGAAACTGCGAGGAAGATATAGGTCAAAAAAAGCCGCTAAGAACTGTTGCATTGGTGGAGTAAACAGCGTCTGTGCGTCTCTGTGCGTCTGTGGACTGTGTGACAGTCGTACGTAAACCACGTACCGGCGGCGCAGACAAGTCAGTTACGCTAGAAACGTAGGGAGTTTGATTGACAGCCTGTCAGCTCACAGATAACGAGGCAGTGTCGTTATCTATTGGCAAATGTTTAGCCCCACCACGTCCAGAGTTGATGAATTTTTATTCTCTTTTTTTTTGGTCATCATAATTACAAGGCGACTGCATCTTTATAATCTATCATTGACAACTTGAAACAAAAAAAAATCCTCCATACAACCTTTAAGTCAGAATTAGAGAATCATCAAAAGTTTGATACGCATTTTAAAGTAGATAGGGGGTTGGTGAAAACAGATTTTTTTTCTGAGCCCCAAATACAGAACAGATACGTGAATTACTCAGACATGCATGAGACAATCAAAATACAACTGTGAGTAAGAGAATATTGTTATAACATCAATTTTTCTTGTAACACAATATTTTCTGTGTTTTAAAGGATTGGAAAAAAGATTTTGAACAAGCCTGTTTTCACTGCACTATGATGTAGTTGTTGTTGTTGTTGTTGAAGTGACAGACTGTTTGTGTTCCAGGTACGTGACTCCGCCCAGTCCTTCCTGACCGTGCAGGTTCCTCTGTACGTGTCCTACATCTACGTGACGGCTCCTCGGGGCTGGGCGTCTCTGGAGCACCACACAGAGATGGAGTTCTCCTTCTTCTACGACACCGTGCTCTGGAGGACAGGTAAGAGGCTCCGGGTTTTCTTTCAGTTCCAGTTTTTAAAGATCAGGGAACAAGGAACTTTTTGTATATTATGAATTTCAAATGTTAAAACGTCAGTGTTGTTTCCTGCTCAAAAACAGACCTGGAGTTTTGTTTAGTTTAACACACAAACCTGGAGTTGCCGATCTCTATTGAACTAAAGGTAAAAGGAGCTGTTCACTTGAAAACTACCACTTCATGACATCACAAGGTGGAACAGAGCATTTTGATGTTTGGAGATGTAGACAGACGAATATTAAAGAGGTACTCAGACATGTGTAAATGAAACAAAACACAACTCCAGGTCTGTTTTGGATGACATAACAGCATTATAACACAACTTAAAGCTCACAAGAGTCAAATTTTATGTTGTAAATTCTGCTTGAATGTTTTTCACTGCAAGCTGCAATTAAATTAGTCAAACCAAAACAAAATGTTAACTTATATCACAGTGGGGATTATTGCAGTGGCTGTTGGACATTCATGCTCTTTATAGTCAATAATGAGACTCAAACAAAACATTTGAAGGATGTCAGTGCTCAAAATGTAAACATTTACTTCACTGTGATCTGGCTTGCCCCTCCACAGACTTAGATTGTAGAGACCTAGACCTAGATTTGGCCTTGGCACATCTCCTGCTTGTCTTCATGGAGATTGTTACTTTGTCTCAATGTTCCAAAATATGTTTTTAAATCGTCTATCTCCATGGAGACGAACAGCCTTGAAGATGTTAAGGGTTTAAACAAAAAAATTGTGAATTTATTAATTTACTGTGTAGGAAAAAAAACAAAACAGAAACGTGGTAGTGAAATAAAGGGGTTTAAACAAAAAGGAATTACCAAACTGTAGAGGCCTAAACTACAAAAAAAAAAAAGAACCTAACTAAAGTTGCACTACATGAATAACAAAAGTGTCTCAAAGTATCAAACTAAATCAAATAACAAAGGTATCAGTTGGCATAGTTAATGCAAAATGAGACACAACAGAATGAAACAACCGAACAGAAATGGTGAGCTGTCACGAAGGTGTTCAGCTGCTCCAAGCAGGCGGAAGACGGTCCTGTTTGCAGTCCACGCCTCCGCGGGCGGGTGGAGGCAGAAGGGTGTCTGGCCAGTCCAGGGAGCGATCAGATGCCCAGTCTCCCTCTGGTGGTCTCAGCTCCTGCGAACCTTGAGTCCAGGGCTCACGGACCAGATTTACATACACACACAAAAACAAAAGCAACAGGAGCACAAAATTGATAAATACTAAAAGGGCCAAAACCTGTAACAGCCTTTAGTAATGTTCTGCCTGTTGTTTATACAGACAAACAGAGTGTATGTGTGTGTGTGCAGCTCCTGGTTGACCTCTGTGTTCCATCTGCAGGTATCCAGACCGACAGTGTCCTCTCCGCCCGACTCCAGATCATCAGAATCTACATCCGAGACGACGGGCGCCTGGTCATCGAGTTCAAAACACACGCCAAGTTCAGAGGTACCACCCTCACACACGAGCACATACACACAAAACCTGGACCTGTCTCTGCTGTCCAACACGTTCTGACTGTCCGTGCGCCCCCTGCAGGCCAGTTTGTGCCGGAGCACCACACCCTGCCCGGGCACAAGTCTCGTCTCATGGCCCCGGATCATTTGGGGGGAATGGAGTTTGACCTGCAGCTGCTGTGGAGCGCTCAGAGCTTCGACTCGCCGTACCAGCTGTGGAGGGCCACCAGCTCCTACAGCAGGTCAGAGACACAACGGAGACACCACTTCTGATTTATCTGAGGGAGGGACATGTCTATGAGCAAAAAAAACATATCTGGAAGACAGTAAAGAATGAAAGAGTATAATTTGTTCATCAAAGACTAGGCCACAATAGTAAAAGAGACTGTATTAGTACCGTGTTTTTTGGATTATAAAGTCCACCAGATTATAAAGCACAATATCAATAATGTTGAATTCTCTCGTCTATTTTCATACATAAGTTGCCCCGGATTATAAGGAGCATTAAGTGAAACAAATGGACGACACTTGAGACTGATCCTTTAGTCCAGGCGTCCACGATCCACTGGCAGATCGTGGGGTAATTCGCTTGGCGTTGCCTCCGTGTCTTGGTGAATGTGGATTATGAATGTGAATGCGGGTGGATAATTTAAGTTTGTTTTTTTTATTTCCTACGAGGACGACTCAAATATACATTGAGTAATAATGTGTTTGATGCAGCTTTATGCACATTTGTTTACATTTTACAGAAACGAAACTTAAAACCACATGGCTCATTTGCATAAACTACAAGAGCTGAAAAAAACAGCTCGCTCCTTGTGCACTGATGCTGTTCAGCTTCTGTCAGACTCCGCGAGGCTCCTGACTACAGCAGCTATGCTCCGACAGTCCATCCAGCGGTGTGACCTTGTAGTTTACCAAAGTCGTACTAAAACATTTTGACAGATTTTTGAGCGCTGTGTACCACATAAAATCTGTTTGAGGTCAGTAACCACAACCAGAATTAATACATAAGCCACACTGTAAATTTTTTAGAAAAATAAAGGATTTTAAGTGTGTCTTATAGTCCGAAAAATACGGTATGTATTTGTGCAAACTGCAGTCAGAAATAGGTCTAAGCCTAAGGCTCTTTTACCTTGTGAGAATAAAAATCCTTTATTTAGAACATGGACTGAATCCTACGTGTTTGGACATGCAGTGTTTTCTTCAGGGCTTTAATGGAAGTACAATCAGCAGTGGCATTTAAAAATCTTTGGACATGTGACTAACGGCATGTTTCAAGTTCAAGTTTATCATATGAAGTATCGAAAGGACTCACTATTCCAGGCATGAAAAATAAATAGTAAATGGTAAATAGTGCAAAAGATAAGTTAAAAATTGTTTATGTAATAAAAGAAGTAACAAGATACATGCACAAAGACACTAACTGTACTAAGATGTGCTTGTATTTGAAACAGGAAGGACTATTCCGGGGAGTACACGGCGTTCCTCATCCCGTGTACGGTCCAGCCCACTCAGCCCTGGATCGACCCTGGAGACAAACCTCTGTCCTGCACGGCCCACGCTCCAGAGAAGTATGAACCCACTCTGACAATACCTCCACAGAACAAAAGTCTGCTCTGTGTCGCGTGTTTGTGAAGGATTAAGCGGTGTCTCTCTGTCGTGTGTCAGGTTCCTGGTGCCCATCGCGTTCCAGCAGACGAACAGGCCCGTGCCCGTGGTCTACTCCCTCAACACGGAGTTTCAGCTTTGTAACAACGAGAAAGTGTTTCTGCTGGACCCCAGCTCCAACGACGTGTCTGTCAACGAGATGGACTACAAGGGAGCCTTCTCTATGGGTACAGACTGAAACAGGACTGAAACTGGACTGAAACTGGACCGAAACAGGACCGAACCAGGACTGAACCAAGACTGAACCAGACGGAAACAGGACTGAACCAGGGCTGAACTATGACTAAAGCAGGACCAAACAAGGACTGAACCAGAACTGAGCCAGGACTGAAACACGACTGAAACCAGACTAAATCAGGATTCAGACGGGACCGAAACAGGATTAAACCAGGATTGAACCAGGACTGAAACAAGACTAAAGCAGGAACAAACAAGAACTGAACCAGGACTGAACCAGGACCAAAACAGGACCAAACAAGGGCCAAAAAAGGACTGAATCAGAACTGAAACAAGATTGAAACAGGACTTAAACAGGACTAAATCAGGTTTGAAACAGAACTGAAACAGGATTAAGGCAGGACCAATCAAGTTCTGAAACAGGATTAAACCAGGACTGAAACAAGACTAAAGCAGGACCAAAAAAGGACTGAACCAGGACTGAAACAAGACTGAAACAGGACTAAATCAGGACTGAAAAAGGACCAAACAAGTACTGAAACAGGACTGAAAAGGGGGCCAAAAAAGGACTGAAACAGAATCGAAACAGCACTAAATCAGGACTAAAACAGGACCGACACAGGACTGAACTAGGACTGAAACAGGACTAAAGCAGGACCAAACAAGTACTGGAACAGGATTGAAACAGGACCGAAACAAGACTAAACCAGGACTGAATCAGGACTAAACAAGGACTGAACCAGGACTTATTATATTATTATTAATATTACTGTAAAAGTTCTTGTATTTTCTAAAAGGATGGTCAACATGTTGATCTCTTTTATAAAATTATTTCTGTTTTTAAAACACTAAAGACATTTTTCTCATTGTAGATTTTGTAGATAAATTGAGTCTGAACATTAGCGTCTTGTGTTCGGATGACGTTTGTTTTCACCCCGGTGTTTGTGTCTCCCCCTGCAGGTCAGACTCTGTACGGCAGAGTGCTGTGGAATCCCGAGCAGAACCTGAACGCGGCGTACAGACTGCAGCTCGAGAAGGTTTATCTGTGCACGGGCCGAGACGGATATGTGCCTTTTTTTGACCCCACGGGGACACTGTACAACGAGGGCCCCCAGTACGGCTGCATCCAACCCAACAAGCACCTCAAGTACCGCTTCCTGCTGCTGGTACGAGCCCCGACCCGGATACTTTTTTTTTTTTTTTGGAACTTATTTTTATTAAATAATTTCGGTGCAAGCCACATAATTATGAAACAGCAGCAAGGATGCAACACAAGTAAAATGATAAAGTATACAGTATAGATACAGTCATACACAGTCTCCTCATTCATCTTTCATAATGTACACTACACACACACTACAACAAAAATCCTACAAAAGATAGTCGTCCTTTTGAAATATTGGCCTGAATTGAAGACCATTTGTCCATGAATAAATCTGTCTTCATTTGTAACCTTGCAGTTATTTGCTCCATATGATATACATCCTTTATTTTATTTTTCCTCTGGGTCATTGTGGGGGGCAGCGGCCTGAGCCAGGATTTTTTTTTCAATTAAAAGTAAAATTTTCAGCAAATGAAAATGGCTATTTGTTCTTAGGTTGTTTGGAAAAATTCCCAACACCACAAGACATGGGTCTAATATAATTTTGATCCCCAGACAGTTTTCAATTTGGCATTGCACGTCCCTCCAAAATGTTGTCAGTTTAGGACAGTCCCAGAATATACGGGAATGATCCCCCACCAGACCACAGCCCCTCCAACATTTATCTGAGGTTCCACCAAACCGACATGTAATAAAAGGAGTTCTAAAGAATCTAATTTTAGTTTTCCATTCAAATTCACTTAGCACTGGGCTGTTTGTAATATTATATCCCTACCGAAGTGTCCGATCCCAGTCCTCATCCTTAATTATTGTGTTCATTTCTAATTCCCATTTCTCCTTAAAGGTTGTATGGAGGATTTTTTTTGGTTTCAAATTGTCAATGAAAGTTTAAAATACCATTACAGAGAAGCAGCAGCCTTGTAATTATGATGACCAAAAAAAAAACAGAATGAAAATCCATCAACTGTGGACGTGTTGCGGCCAGATAAACATTAGCCAATAAATAACGAGGCTCCCTCTTTATCTATTGGCTGTTAGGTTGTCAGTCAAACTCCCTAGTGTAATTGACTCGCCAGCACGCAGGGATTACGTGGTTTATGCAGTGGTTCGTAGAGGATTTTTCAAACTGTAGCTTCCTCGCATTTCGCACAAAGTTTGTTGCGATGGCGGACGAGAATCCACGACCAGTTCGCCGCAAAAGAAAGTCAGTTTTTGAGGTCGTTGAAAGAAGAAAAGAAGGAGAAAAGGAGCAAAGCCGATCTGAGGTGATTCTTAGAGATTCCTTCCAGCGATTGCGTGACTGAAGCAGACGAAAGGGTCTAAAAACTGATGCATCGGTCGCTAAATTATTTCTAGACAGGTCACTTCAACAGTAATTCTGAACGAGCTCTGGATGTAAACAAGCCTGATTTCTAGAGTCAGGAGGCGGGAGGTGTTTCTACTGAGGGAGCGGTGAAGGAGGAAGGTGGTGTCACGCATGCACAACATTTGAAAAAGGACTGTCGCTGTATTTCGCTTCCCTTAAAAAAAATCCTCTATACAACCTTTAATATGCAGTGTGTTCTCTGTGGTAGCATCTTGTAATATTTTGTAGATATGAGATATATATTTGCTAGTAATAGATTTTTTAATGACCCGGATACTTTTAGTTCAGAGCTAAAGTTACACCTTTTACGTAATATTTTCCTAATAAATGTGTTTCCAGGACCGTAAGCAGCCCGAGGTGTGCGACAGATATTTCCACGACGTTCCCTTCGAGGCTCACTTTGCGTCGGAGATCCCGGAGCTGCAGTCCATGAGCTCCATGCCCGGAGTGGACGGCTTTACCATGAAGGTGGACGCGCTGTATAAGGTCAGACTTTACACCACCTCCACGCAAACTTACAGTGAACTGAATGAAGTAAATGAACTACCGTATTTTCCGGGCGATTAGCCGCGGTCTTAAGCCTCTAACCGCATCAAAAAACGACCGCGCTCCCGGCAATCCAGAGCGTGTCCAGGTGTCACAGCACGACTTCGGTGAACTATAAAACCGTAAACACACACGGCGCAGACACACATAGACCTAGAGTTGGGTTTTGTTTCACTCACACGTTTAACACACAATTCCTGCATATTTAGGCTGAGTTTTTCTCTTAAACTGACAAACTCTCTGTTCTACCTGGTGAGGTCATGTTATAATATGTACAGTGTTGGGAGCAACGTGTTATAAAAGTAACGAATTACAGTAATGCGTTGATTTTTGCTGTAACGCAGTAATGTAAGGCATTACAGGGGGAAAAATGTTAATATTTTACTCGGTACAAATGAGAGTAACGCGCGTTACAATGCTTTTTTAACCTGGATTGAAGTGGTGGGTTTTTCTTCATAGAAATTCGCTAAAATCACCGTGAAATCAGCAGCGGTGAAACGCGGAGACGCGGCCGGACAGACCTTCAGTTAACCGCGGGTGAAAGGACCAACCCAGAACTCTACGCTGTTTAGACCTGGTTTAGACCTGGGTCACTTCTGGTTTAGACCTGGGTCACTTCTGGTTTAGACCTGGGTCACTTCTGGTTTAGACCTGGCTTACAGTCGTCCCTCGCTCTAACGCGATTCACTTTTCGCGGTCTCGCTGATTTTTAGAATTTTTTTTTTTGTGTGCAATTTTGCATGCCTTTTGTTTTTAGTGTATGAACACGTATTGCGTTCCTCCCGCTGTGTCCTGATCGGCTGAGGGACTCCTGTCTCCTGAACAGTACAGTACAGAATATGTTCAGCTGCCAAATTTAAATAAATGTTCAATCTCTAGCAGTGTGATTCTGAAGTGCATTGTGTCTGCAAGTTTTCTCTCCGACAAAATCCACAACGTTGACGAAATGTTCTGCACTGACAAAGTCTCCTGCGCTCACACCCAAAAGACAGAGGACGATGCAAACCATCACACAAAAAGTTGGACTTCTGAACACGCTGAAGGAAGGTAGAAGTTACGCGCTGTAGCAAAGTTTTGCACCGGGTCTTGTACCCGCAAATAGTTGCTGAAATCAGGACCGTGAGCCCGAGCAGCAGGGTCCATAAAGAGCGATCGGGCAACAGCCGCTCTTACCTCCATGAGGTGCGGAGCAGAGCCGCTCCTTTCTCCTGTGGTCACCTTCGAGCCCGTCCTGACAGTGAGTCCTGTTTTAGTCCTGGTTCAGCTCTGGTTTAGTCCTGGTTTAGACCTTGTTTAGTCCTGGTTCAGTCCATATACGGCTCAAAAGTTCAGCTTTTTCGCAGTTATTTTGGTGAGAGTAACTTAAAGTAATGCAATAGTAATGTAATGCCTTACATTTTAAATGCAGTAATATTGTAATGTAACGAATTACTTTGAAATGACAGTAATAAGTAATAAGTAATAAATAACAAATTACAGTTTTAAAGTAACTTGCCCAACAGTGTTCGGCTTTACAGGGAAAGAAATAATAATATTTTACTTGGTATAAATGTCAGTAACACGCTTTACAAAGCTTTTTTAACCTGGACTGAAGTGGTGGGTTTTTCGTTTTTCTTCATACAAATTCTCTAAAATCATCACGATATCAGCAGCGGTGAAACGCCATCATTACGGTTCCAAATGTCGGGACGGGCCCAAATGTGCGCCCGCGTAGACCGGCGGGTGACCGCGAGGCGAAAGGACCGGGGCTAATCACAGCTAATGCCCGATGGAGCTTTGTGGACACCCTGGTCCACGGGCTCGGGTTCTATCAGGGGCGGTCCTAGATTCCAAGATTATCATATTTTCCGGGTTCTTAGTCGCGCTTTTAAGCCTCTAACCCCATCAAAAAACGACCGCGCGCTACAATCCAGAGCGCCCCATACACGAATCCACTCAGGTGTCCCAGCACGACTTCAGTAAACTACAAAGCCACAAATACACATGGAGCAGACAGCGACCGCACAGAGAAACACACCCACACACACACTCATCACTCCACGCCGACGAGGAACGGAACGGAGGAACGAACCGAAAAAAACGAGTGCAATGTGCCACTTCTAGACACGACTGAACAACTGAGTCATCGCGACCTGTTTGGGATCCGTTGGTCCCACACACACCCTCCCTACACGCCACAACTGAACAAAGCCCAGAGTCACTGTGAACGAACAAACAAAGTCCAACTGTTGAGCTGTTGTGTTTCGCTTAATGTCCAGTGCAGTTTATTTGTGAAAAAAGTTTGAAAATAGACCATTTAATGACAGCGCGTCTTATAATCCAGAGCGCCTTATCGTCCGTAAAATACAGTAAATTAAAATGCTACAAGATTTGTTGTTCCTGTGTGTTTTGATTTTTGATTTTTTTTTACCACCGTCTGCAACTCAATAACATTTACTCTGCTTTTCAATGCCTCGTCTAAAGGCGTTCTGCTCAATCAGCATTAATTACCTCCGCCAAGGAGGTTATGTTTTTGCCGGCAACATAACTCAAAAAGTTATGGACCGATTTTGATGAAATTTTCAGGATTTGTTGGAAATGTGAAAAGGAAGAACTGATTTCATTTTGGGGGTGATCCGGAAGAAATCCTGGATTCTGGATCACTTTGAAATTTTACTTAACATTGTGGTAAATGGGGCCAAAAATGTTGTTTCTCAATATCTCGGTTAATTATTGACCAAACCCCATGAAATTTGACTCAGGGATGGACAATGGGATCCTCTTTCATATTCCAAAGGCTGATCCGGATCTGATCCAGAAGACTGATTTTATTGCAATTTATATAAAAAATGGGGGTAGTCCTTGGCGGAGGTCTGCGCTCTCTGAGTGTCATACAAACCAGTGCTTTCAATTTAACATAATTAAAACTAGGCGTGTAATGGTACAAAAATCATAGTTCTGTACGTACCTTGGTTTTGATGGTTCAGTTCATTTTCGGTACAGTTTGGGAACAAAATGTAAAACCATTTGCTTGTTTATTTCTGTGTATTAAACCAACAATTACTTTTAACTTTATACAAACAGGAAAATAAAATCAATGCAAAGTGTTGTTTGGTAATACTAATAAGTTAAATAATATATTCTCAAATAAGCAACAAATGTATGAAATATCATAAAAAATTAATTCCTTATAAACATTAAACAAAACTTTTCAAAAAGTAACGCACAGCACAAACAGTTCCAGCATCAAGTTTTACTCAATCTTAATATTTTTGGCCAGAAAAAACAACTTGTCCACATTGTCTGCTGTAAGTGCAGATCTGCTGCAGTTACAGTGTCAGTGGGGGTGGAGATTTCATGGTGGTAAAAAGGCGAAAGTGAGAACCATAGTTTTGTAAGAATTCACATGGTTCGGAGAGACGTAGTCAAGGCAAAGGACAATTGTTGTCAAGGCGACCGCTCTAACTCTAAAGCTCTGCAGGAAACACTGCCCCAATCACAGACAAGTTCCTCATGAATATTAACGAGCTGAGCCTCCGTGTAGCTGCACATGTAGTGGCAAAATGTAAACACGCACAAACTGCGTGAACTCACTCGTGCACAGCCCTGCACCAACTGTACCGTAACGTAACGGTTCGGCACGAATACATGTACTGTTACATCCCTACAGAAAAGTTTTTTGTTTTTTTTAGGAATATACACAAAGTGTGTCTCATCTTGTTCTCACGATCCCAATCCTGTGTCTTTTCCCAAATAATTCATGACTTCATGACTTCCTGTTGGTGTTGCAGGTTGAGGCGGGGCATCAGTGGTACCTCCAGGTGATCTACGTCATCTCCCCCGACTCTCACAAAGGCTCCAGAGTCCAGCGCTCCGTCACCTACCAAATCCAGCCCCAAATCCAGCCCCAAGCTCCACCTGAGACCCTGCCAGAGTCCCAGTCCTGGTCCAGACGCAGACGAGACCTGGTGGACCGCTCCGGCAAACTCACGCTGGACGAATCCTTGATCTACGACAACGAGGGCGACGCGGTGAAGAACGGCACCAACATGAAGTCCCTGCGGCTGGAGATCATCCCGTCGGCCTCGTACACGGCGCACGTGGGCAAGTCCGTGGGCGGTAGCGTCGCCGCGGTGACCGTGCTGATGCTCGCCGTTTTGGCGGCCGGGTTCGTGTTCAGGAAGTGCCGGAAAGCGCAGCAGGCCAAGCAGGCGCAGAAGAACTACGAAGAGTACCCGCTGAACACCAAAGTGGAGGTGTGCCTGGACAAGTGCGTGGAGAAGAACTTCGGGAGCAGGCACTGCACCGTGAGGAACGTCAATGTTCTGAACCGCAGCCAGGACAAAGCCAAGGTCAAGCAGGTGAACTTAGAGGTCAAACTTCGGAACAACCTGAACGATGGGACCGAGGTTTAAACACAACTCAGTAACTTTGAGTTTTTTGACTAATTTTTTCATGTACACTGCAAAAAGTAAAATCTAGGTACGTTCAAATGACACAAATTGGGAATATTTGAGTAGATTTGACTTGACAAGTAAAATTGTTTTGTAGGAAGTGATTTTTTTTATTTAAAATGACCAAAAACAAAAAAAAGATCAACAACTTTTTAAGGTGCGCTGTGTAACTTTTTTGTTGTTTCTCTTGATTCGTCGTTGCTCTGCCTGGAATGTTCCACAGTGTGACATTAAACAGCTCTACCTTAAAATAATTCAATTACAGGTGGATTTATTGCAGAAAAATACAGAGAAAACAGGCATTTTGACTCCACAGGTCTGACCTGTAACTTGGTCTGTACCTTTACTTTAGTCTCGTAGTTTCGTAATACTGCGAAACATTCCAAAGCAATAACATGTCCATGGAGAAAAGCACAAGGTTCCAATGCTCATGAAAATCCTGGAAAAGTCATGGAAAATAAAAGTGGCATTTTCCAGGCCTAGAAAAGTCATGGATTTTTGTAAATTCAATGAAAGTTTAGGAAAAGTCATGGAATTTTATGCAACTCCAACGTTCTGTTAAGTTCTCATGAGACTATTATGATTATTTCCGAAGGTTTGCGCCTTTTGTTTAAAAGAGACGACAATAAATGCACTGAAAGGATTTTGAAAGTTAAAAAAACTATAATCCCAAACCATAAGGTGAGTGGAAAGAGTTAATATTTCATATTTAGGCCTAAAATGATGATAAATTCTACACATGTAGGTGCTGTAAAGTCATGGAAAATTCACTTTAGGCCATGAAAAAGTCATGGAAAAGTTTTTAAATTTTGTCAGTGAAAAAGAGTGGGAACCCTGAAAGCATTTGACGGAACCTCCACTGGAAAAGTCACACAATGCACCTTTAAAATTAGGACTAAACTAAAAAAAGATAAACTAACTAAAGACAAAATCCACGTTTTTACTCCTAAACTGTGCAAATCGTGTTTCAGTAGCGTTATTTACTGTTCCTAGTACTTTTTTTTTTAGGTAAATTTGCAGCTTTGTGTTCAAAAACAATCAAAAACATGTGCGGCCACTGCAATTCCAAGTACTATGTGACATCACGCATGACTGTTCTGATTAAATGTATCTATTTATCAGTTACACTTTGGTATTTTGGCTAAAATACCTCAAAAAACACGCATCTTTAATGTGTGTGTAGGGTCACCTCTCCACAGATGTGACCTGTAACCTGCCTCATCACCCAGTTATCGCCATGGAGATAGTTTAATAAGCGATAATGTGGAATATTTCTCTTTTATTTCTGGTAAAACAATAACGTCTACTAATAAAATGACCTTTAAAATAACAATTAACTAAGAAATAAACGCAGAATTGTTTTACTTGTCAAGTCAAATCCACGTAAACATTTTTTTTTTTAATCCCAGTAATAAAGTTTATCTAGACGTTGCTTTTTGCAGTTTAGCGCCCCCTACATTTCAGAGTAAAGCACAATTGTAAATACTCCAATCATATGAAAAACGCGTCCATTTTTATATTTAGTGCTTTTGGACACTCACGCCGGTCGAACTTTCATTTTATTCAACAATAGAAACTTGATTTTTAACCCAAAAAAAAGTTACTGAGTTCTGTTTTGACGCTGCGAAACGAAACGAAATGAAACGAAAGAGGTATTTTTTTTTTTGTAAAGGGAAGTTTGTAAGTATTTTTATAACAAAAAGGGAACGGAGAGATTTGCAACTGCGTAACCTCAGGAACCACAAAACGCTCATTTTGCTGCATTTTTGAGAATTTTTAGTTTCACATTTACAGATCTTTAGCAACACGACGCAAAATGGAGAAACACGACGACGCGAATCGCTATATATATATTTTGCTAAAACCACTGTAACGATGTTTTTTCATTCTGTGTCAATATAAAAAAAAAACTGGTACCACTTTATAATATCGGCTTTTTAATTAGTCTTAACAAAGCGTGAACAGAGATTAATGAACAAACACTGAAGTAAGAATGATTCAAGCTTAGTAACTACTTAATTAAAGCCATTTTACGTCTTTAAAAAAACGTTTAAAAAAAACAAAAAACAGAATTAGTAATTTTCAACGGTTTGCAGTGCTCCAAACGTATCCCTCACTTATCGTATGTATTCTACTTATCTTAATTACTCATTTTGATGAGTTTACAAGCGTTTTTTCACAACTTTAAGAAGCCGCTATTGTAAGGCTAACAACAACTAGCATGATAACGCTGCATTTCCTGATTCTTGGCCCCCCAAAAAAAACGCTTTAAAATTAGAATTAGACTTACTTTGACTTGTTTTGCTCAAATACATGGAAAAAAAAAGAAGTTATCCTTCACTTACCTTTTACCCGCTTTTCGCAACTTTTAAGAAGATAGAGCGGTAATACTAACAACAACTACCATGCTAACGCTGCACTTCCTGAATCTCAGACAATAAAAAAAACTGTTGACAGCTCGCAGCAGACTTACTTTGCTCAAATACTAAAGAAGATATCCTTCACTTATCTTATGAACTTTTCACAACTTTAAGAAGCCGGAGCGGTAATGCCAACTACAAAACTAGCATGCTAATGCCGCACTTCCTGATCTCGGACAATAAAACGCTTTAAATTTAGATTCTGACAGCTCGCAGCAGACTGATTTTGACCTTCCTTTGCTCAAATACATGGAAAAAAGTTATTCTTCACTTATCTTATGTCCGTTCCGCAACTTTAAGAAGCTGGTTCTGTGATGCTATCAACAACTAGCATGCTAACGCTGCACTTCCTGATGCAGACAGTTTGACCTCAAGAGCTGCTTATACAATATGGCAGTGGGACGAAACAAACTGCTCAAATACATGGAGAAAAAAAATGATCCTTCACTTACCTTATGCGTGTTCTGCAACTTTAAGAAGCCGGTAACAACAACTAGCATGCTAACGGTGCACTTCCTGATTCTCAGACAATAAAACGCTTAATAATTAGATTCTGACAGTCCACAGCAGAGTTATTTTGACCTTACTTTGCTCAAATACATGGAAAAAAAAAAGTTATTCTTCACTTACCTTATGCACGTTCCGCACCTTTAAGAAGCCGGTGCTGTAATGCTATTAACAACTAGCATGCTAACGCTGCACTTCCTGATGCAGACAGTTTGACCTCAAGCCTCGAGCTGCTTATACAATATATCTGTACTGGGGCAGGACACAATATGCTCAAATACATGAAAAAAAAAAGCTGAAAAAAAAAAAAACAAAAAAAAACGCACTAACAACAAATAGCATGCTAACAGTGCACTTCCTGATTCTCAGACAATAAAACACTTAATAATTAAATTCTGACGGTACACAGCAGAGTTACTTTGACCTCAAGAGCTGCTCGTACAACATATCTGTACTGGGTCGAGACAAATTTTGCTCAAATACGTGGAACAAAACCGCAAAAACAAAAACAATTAGCATGCTAACACCGCACTTCCTGATTTTCGGACAATAAAACGCTTTCAGATTTGACGTACTTCGATCTTATATATGAACTGGGAGACAAACTTTGCTCAAATACGTGGAACAAAAACAAAAACAGACCCCTTAAGTCGTGACTAAGCTTGAATCATTCTTAATAATTTTGTTTTGTTTTGTTTTTATTAATTAAAGTGTCGTTTTTATTATAAAGTGTTACCAAAAATCTTGCTGCTAGTTCGATCACTGGAACCCGAGCACTTTTCAAGTCATTTCAACTGTAGACAAACTAAAAAAAAAATAAAAAAAACACTGGACGGTAGCATGACGCGTAGCTACTGAAACGAAATCGAATCTCGTTAATCCCAAGTGCAATTACGCCGTCCCCCGAGCTTTCCCGCGCATTGCCAACCCTCTCCGAGCTAAAATCCCGTAGACCTATTCGCAAACGAGTACAAATCAAAAGTACTAGAGTATAAAATGGGAAAAGTATCACCGTGTTTTGCCTTACTCCGGTCATTTGTACTGACGTGAAAGCGGATTATGTTTGTGCTCGTGCTGAAAAAAAAGGATCAAAAAGTGCCATTTGAAACAGAGATTGGGTTAAGAGTTTGCGTTAGAATGAAAGTCAATGGGAAAACGTTACCGTAGAAACCAAATATTTCAACTCAGAACTAAACCAAGACTGAGGATTTATCGTAAAGTGAGGACTAAACCGGAACTAAACCAGGATTAAAGAAGGGAAAAAAGTACTTACAAGACTGAACAGAGGTGGGTAGAACGCAGAGTACTTTTCTAGCTGTGTACTTTTACTCCTACTCGAGTATTATTGGTACTAAAGTAACAGTACTCTTGATTGATTGATTGATTGATTGATTTTGAGAGTTCGTGTGCGTTCCATTTGGGGGCGCTGTTGAGTAAACTGAATGAATTGAAGGTGAAATTTAGAGGTTAGAGGAAGTTTGTGTTTTAGCGTTTTTGTCTTGCAAAGTTGGAAAAAAAGTGAGTTTTTGAATAATTATTAAACGTAAACGTGCTGGTGTAAGGTGGTCACAAAATTTTTAAATATTCAGTTTTATTTTTTTTATGTAAAAAAAAAAAAAAAAAAATCTAATCTCAAATTTGATTCAATTATTAAAATATAACAATCCTTAATTATTTTATTTGACAAGTGCCCAACTTGAATTAAACCAAGACTGAACCAGGACCCAACTTGAACTAAACCAGGACCCAGGACTCAACCAAGACTAAACCAGGACTAAACTAGGACCCAAACAGGATCCAACCAGGACTAAACCAAAACTAAACCACCACCCAAACAGGATGAAACCGGCTCCTCAAGAACTCAACCAGGACTAAACCAGGACCCAGCCTCTATTAAACCAAGACTAAACCGAGACCCAACTCGGACTTAATCAGTATCCAAACCAGGACTCAGTCAGGACCCAGTCAGTATTAAACCAGGAACCAATCTGGACTAAACCAGGACTAAAACACTGTCCAACCAGAACTAAACCAGGACTAAACCAGGACCCGGCCTCTATTAAAACAAGACTAAACCAAGATCCAACTCGGACTTAACCAGTACCCAATCTGGACTAAACCAGTACTCAGTCAGTACGTAGCCAGTATTAAACCAGGAACCAGTCTTGACTAAACCAGGACTCAAGCAGGACCCAACCATTCCTAAACCAGGTCTAAACTAGAACCCAAGCAGGACTAAACCACGACCAAACCAGGACCCAACCAGAACTAAACCAAGACTAAACCAGGACCCGACCTCTATTAAACAAAGACTAAACCGAGATCCAACTCGGCCTTAACCAGTACCCAGACCAGGACTCAGTCAGGACCCAGTCAGTATTAAACCAGGAACCAATCTGGACTAAACCAGGACCAGGACTCAATCAGGATTAAACCACTGTCCATCCAGAACTAAACCAGGACTAAACACAGCGTAATTAAGATCTTTTCCGTAAAATTCCCATTGACTCCCGTTATAACGCGTTTAGCTCCACCCTCAAAAGTCTTAACCTGATCTCTGTATTATCCTCATTAAATTCAAAACAAAACGTCCAAAGTTTTTTTTTATTATTCTTCTTATTACTACTATTATATTTTTTATTTCACATGATTGTAAAAATTTGAAAAAACAAAACAAAATTTAAAAAAAAAAACAACAAAAAAAAACCACGTCATTTTTGGACATTAAGCACATTTCAAAGCCTTACAAAGTGTCCAATGAATTTCACCCAAAGACGCCGCATTTTCTACTCGTTTTTATGACTAAATGTCCCACTTTGGTGTATTTTATTTTGACGTCTGCCTTCTGCTTATGTTTTATGTTAGCCTCTCGTGTTTGTACGCGCAGACTTTTATTTTGAAGAACACCTGACTGAGCACTGCTGTGTAAAACTCGTGCCTATTTAAAAACACCGGGGGAATGAGATTTATATTTTTGGTGCTATGATTTTTGTGATATGACGATGCCTGTATTTGGTGCCTTTTTTAATAATGAAATAAACATGACATTTTTAAATAATAATGAGCATTTGTGTCGAGTTTATTTGTGGAGCTTCAGCCACGACTAAATCAGGACTAAAGCAGGATTAAACCAGGACTAAACCAGGACTAAACCAAGACCCAAGCAGGACTAAAGCAGGACACAAACAGGACTAAAACAGGACTAAACTAGGACCCAAACTGGACTTAAGCAGGACTAAACTAGGACTAAGGAAACAGGACTAAAGCAGGACTAAACCAGGACTAAACCAAACAGAACTAAAGCAGGATCCAAACAGGACTAAAGCAGGACCCAAGCAGGACTAAAGCAGGAAAACAGGACTAAACTAGGACCCAAACTGGATTTAAGCAGGACTAAACTAGGACTAAGGAAACAGGACTAAACCAGGACCCAAACAGAACTAAAGCAGGACTAAAGCAGGATCCAAACAGGACTAAAGCAGGACTAAACTAGGATTAAACCAGGACTAAAGCAGGACTAAACCAGGACTAAACCAGGATCCAAACAGGACTAAAGCAGGACTAAACCAGGATCTAAACAGGACTAAAGTAGGACTAAACTTGGATTAAACCAGGACTAAAACAGGACTAAAGCAGAACTAAACCAGGACTAAACCAGGACCCAAACAGAACTAAAGCAGGACTAAACCAGGACTAAACCAGGACCCAAACAGAACTAAAGCAGGACTAAACCAGAATCTAAACAGGAATAAAGCAGGACTAAACCAGGACTAAACCAGAACTAAACCAGGACTAAACCAGGACCCAAACAGAACTAAAGCAAGACTGAACCAGGGCAAAAACAGGACTAAAGCAGGACTAAACCAGGATTAAACCAGGACTAAAGCAGGACTAAAGCAAGACACAAACAGAACTATAACAGGATGAAACCAGCTAAACCAGGACCCAACTTGAACTAAACCAGGACTAATCCAGGACCCAGCCAGGACCAAACTAAGACTAAACCAGGACTCAGTCAAGTTTATTTGTTGAAAAAAGCTCTGCACGTTTTATTTTGGACTGTACTTTCAAAATAATGGTAGAAAAAACAGAGACGGCGAGTTTTGTTTTGTTTCATTCAAATACATTTGAGTAACTCTTTTATTATTAATTTTTTTTTGTTATTATTTTTATTATTATTCTGTCGACATCTCAGAAGCTCAAAATCCTCCGTTACACCTTGTGATGTCATGAAGAGGTAGTTTTCAAGTTTGATTTGTGAATATTTATTTCTTTAAAGGGTCTTTTATTTTGAAGATTTTAACCATGTCACAGTGTAGAGCTCAAAACACTTCAACCCAGGACTAAAGCAGGACTAAAACTGGACTCAACCAGGACTAAAGCAGGACTAAAACCAGGACTAAAACTGGACTCAACCAGGACTAAAGCAGGACTAAAACCAGGACTAAAACTGGACTCAACCAGGACTAAAGCAGGACTAAAACCAGGACTAAAACTGGACTCAACCAGGACTAAAGCAGGACTAAAACCAGGACTAAAACTGGACTCAACCAGGACTAAAGCAGGACTAAACCAGGACCCAAACAGGACTAAACCAGGACTAAAAAAGGACTAAAACAGGACTAAACCAGGATGCAACCAGGGCTAAAGCAGGACTAACCCGGGACCCAAACAGGACTAAAACAGAACTAAACCAGGACCAAACCAGACCCAAACAGGAGTAAAGCAAGACTGAACCAGGGCAAAAACAGGACTAAAGCAGGACCCAAACAGGATTAAAGGAAGACTAAACCAGGGCTAAACCAGAACCCAAACAGGACTAAAGCAAGACTGAACCAGGACGCAACCTGTAATAAACCAGGACTAATCCAGGACACAATCAGGACTAAACTAGGACCCAACCAGGACTAAACCAGGATGAAACCGGCTAAACCAAGACTCAACCAGGACTAAAACAGTGGCCAACCAGGTCTAAACCAAGATCCAACCTGTAATAAACCAGGACTAAACCGGGACCCAGTTTGAACTAAACCAGGACTAACCCAGGAGTAAAGCAGGACCCAAGACTAGACCAGGACTAAACAAAGACCAAATCAGGACGCAACCAGGACTAAATCGGGCCTAAACCAGGATGCGACCAGGACTAAAGAAAGACTAAAGCAGGACCAAACCAGAACCCAAACAGGACTAAAGCAAGACTGAACCAGGACGCAACCAGGACTAAACTAGGCCCTGAACAGGACTAAACCAGGACCCAACATGTAATAAACCAAGTATCTCTATTATCCTCATTAATTTCAAAATAAAAGGTCCAAAGTCTTTAGTTGTTTTTTTTTTTATTATCACATTTTTTAATTTGACTGTGTGGTCTAGCTGAGGGTGTAGTCGTAGTACAGGATGCCTCCCTCCTCCAGCAGACACTGGTTCTGGTGGGTCCCGGGCTGGACTTGGGTCAGGCAGGTCCCCACCAGGTCGTCCCAGATCAGGTCCTTGTCGTGGACCTCCAGCTTGAGCGGGTCGGAGGGTTTGGCGTGGATGTAGATGAACTCCTCCCTCCACCAGGGGTTGGCGTCGTTCCTGCGCACCTCGGTCTGACCCAGCGGCTCCGAGCGGAACCAGACCCGGACGTACCCGTCTGTGATCCCCAGAAGGTCCTGCGGGAGGCCCTTGGCTCTCAGGTTAAACACCCTGAGCTGAGACTGGCCCCAGCACAAAGAGGCACACAGGAGCAGGAGACACACGGCCCGCATGGTCACTACACACACAGAGACAAGGATTTACTACTACTACTACTACTACTACTACTACTACTACTACTACTACTACTACTACTACTACTACTACTGGCTACTACTACTACTACGGCAAGGCAAGTTTATTTGTACAGCACAATTCGTACACAAAGTAATTCAAAGTGCTTTACAGAATAAGAAATACATTAAAATCATAATAAAAACAAATCAAAACATAAATAATCATGAAGATTAAAATTAAAAAAGAGAGACATAAATTGGAGAGAAGAGTGCGGAATGAAAACCTTTCAGTTATTTGCACAGTTAAACAGAAATGTTTAGAGTCTGGATTTAAACAGCGTCACAGAAGAGTCTGTCTCACATGTTCAGACTGTTCCAGGTTTTAGCTGCATGAACCTGAAACTCTGACTCCCCTTGTTTAGTCGTGACTCTGGGCACCAGCAGGAGTTGGTCCCTGAGCTCCTCAGAGTGTGAGATGTTCATATGACACTAACATGTCACAGATGGACTTTGGTGCTCGACCATGGAGACACTTGTACAAGCAGAGCTGCTTTAAAGTCTCTGAGCCACAGGAGCCAGAGCAGAGACCTGAGACCAGGACTTATGTGCTCGTACTTCCTAGTTCGAGTCAGGACCCGAGCTGCAGCGTTCTGGATGTTCTGGATGTTCTGGATGTTCTGGATGTTCTGGATGTTCTGGATGTTCTGGATGTTCTGGATGTTCTGGATGTTTTGCAGCGTCTCACAGCTCGTTTGGAGAGACCAGTGAGCAGAACATTACAGTATCTAATCTACTGGAGACAAACACATGGATAAGTTTCTCCAAGTCTGATTTAGACAGTAAACCTTTGATTTTTGCTATGTTTTTTAGATGGTAAAAGGCTGCAGATGTTATTGATTTTATGTGACTGTTAAAGTTCAAGTCTGAGTCCATTATTACCCCGAGATTTCTTGCCTGATTTGAAGGTTTTAGAGAGAGAGACTGGAGGTGACTGCTGACACTGTCCCTTTGTTTCTGTGGACCAAACACTATGACTTCAGTCTTGTCAGAGTTTAGCTGGAGAAAGTTGTTTTGCATCCACACACTGATCTGTTGGATGCAGTGACCAAGTGACTCCACTGGTCCATAGTCTCCTGCTGCCAGAGAGACGTAGATCTGAGTGTCGTCTGCATAATTGTGGTACGGACACGTTATTGCTGCTTATTAACTGGCCTAATGGCAGCATGTAGAGATTGAACAACAGGGGGCCCAGGATTGACCCCTGAGGCACCCCACAGGTCAGGGCCATGTCATCTGAGACACAGTTTCCAATTTCAACAAAATACTTCCTGTCTTCTAGATAGGACTTGAACCAGTTTAGTACAGAACCAGAGATGCCCACCCAGTCCTCTAGTCTCTGTAAGAGGATCCCATGATCCACAGTGTCAAAAGCAGCACTCAGATCTAACAGGATCAAGACTGAGACTTTGCCTGCATCAGTGTTCAGGCGGATGTCATTTGTCACCTTGATAAGAGCAGTCTCAGTAGTCTCTACTACTACTACTACTACTACTACTACTACTACTACTACTACTACTACTACTACTACTACTACTACTACTACTACTACTACTACTACTACTACTACTACTACTACTACTACTACTGCTACTACTGCTACTACTACTACTACTACTACTACTACTACTACTACTACTGCTACTACTACTACTACTACTACTACTACTACTATGCTACTACTACTACTACTACTACTACTGCTACTACTACTACTACTACTGCTACTACTACTACTACTACTACTACTACTACTACTACTACTACTGCTACTACTACTACTACTACTACTACTACTACTACTGCTACTACTACTACTACTACTACTACTACTACTACTACTACTACTACTACTACTACTGCTACTACTACTACTACTACTACTACTACTACTACTACTACTACTACTGCTACTACTACTACTACTACTACTACTACTACTACTGCTACTACTACTACTACTACTACTACTACTACTACTACTACTACTACTACTACTACTACTACTACTACTACTACTACTACTACTACTACTGCTACTACTACTACTACTACTACTACTACTACTACTACTACTACTACTACTACTGCTACTACTACTACTACTACTACTACTACTACTACTGCTACTACTACTACTACTACTACTACTACTACTGCTACTACTACTACTACTACTACTACTACTACTACTACTGCTACTACTACTACTACTACTACTACTACTACTACTACTACTACTACTACTACTACTACTACTACTACTACTACTACTACTACTACTACTGCTACTACTGCTACTACTACTACTACTACTACTACTACTACTACTACTACTGCTACTACTGCTACTACTACTACTACTACTACTACTACTACTACTACTACTACTGCTACTACTACTACTACTACTACTACTACTACTACTACTACTACTACTACTACTACTACTGCTACTACTACTACTACTACTACTACTACTACTACTACTACTACTACTACTACTACTACTACTACTACTGCTACTACTACTACTACTGCTACTACTACTACTACTACTACTACTACTACTACTGCTACTACTACTACTACTACTACTACTACTACTACTACTACTACTACTACTACTACTGCTACTACTACTACTACTACTACTACTACTACTACTACTACTACTACTACTACTACTACTACTACTACTGCTACTACTACTACTACTACTACTACTACTACTACTACTACTACTACTACTACTGCTACTACTACTACTACTACTACTACTACTACTACTACTACTACTACTACTACTACTACTGCTACTACTACTACTACTACTACTACTACTACTACTACTACTACTACTACTACTACTACTACTACTACTACTACTACTACTACTGCTACTACTACTACTACTACTACTACTACTACTACTACTACTACTACTACTACTACTACTACTACTACTGCTACTACTACTACTACTACTACTACTACTACTACTACTACTACTACTACTACTACTACTACTACTACTACTACTACTACTACTACTACTACTACTACTACTACTACTACTACTACTACTACTACTACTACTACTACTACTACTACTACTACTACTACTGCTACTTACTACTACTTGCTACTATAGTTGCTTTATATTATTAAAACAGTTAAAAAGGTAAAATAGTCCAAGTCTGTGAGAGTCGGGGAGGTTCTTACCGTGTCTGCAGGTCAGTGTTGAGCTCAGAGCTGCAGTTTGAGTTGGTTTTAAACAGACTCGGCTCCTCCCACTGAGCGACACATGTATGAAGTACCATATGGGCCTGATAACAGTATTTGAAGTACTATCACAGGTAAACTTATATAATGATACAGTATGGGAAATCCACTGGGGGTTGGGTGAAAACAAACACATTTCTGAGCGCTCGAGCCTCATTTGCATCAAGAATCAAGTGAAATCCAACTTAAAAATGAGAGAACATCATTGGAGCAAGATTAAAAACTCAGAAAAGTAAACTTCACATAATATAAAACAAAAAACAAACTTTCTTTTAGTTTCAGACCAGTATTTTATTGTGTGTATGATCTAGCTGAGGGTGTAGTCGTAGTACAGCATGCCTCCCTTCTCCAGAGCACACTGGTTCTGGTGGGTCCCGGACTGGACTTGGGTCAGGCAGGTCCCCACCAGGTCGTCCCAGATCAGGTCCTCGTCGTGGACCTCCAGCTTGAGCGTGGAGTTCTCCTCGGCGTTGTAGTACGTGTACTCCTCCTTCCACCAGGGGTCAGCGGTGTTCTTCCTCACAGACGTCTGCCCCACCAGGTCGTTCCGGCAGAAGACCCGGACGTACCCGTCTGTGATCCCCAGAGCGTCCTGCGGGAGGCGCTGGGCTCTCAGGTTAAACACCCTGAGCTGAGACTGGCCCAGGCTCACACAGGCACAGAGGAGCAGGAGACACACGGCCCGCATGGTCACTACACACACAGAGACAAGGATTTACTACTACTACTACTACTACTACTACTACTACTACTACTACTACTACTACTACTACTACTACTACTACTACCTCCAGACTCTGCCCCTTCTTCCCCTCACGCTCTCCTTTAGTCCCCTAGACCACGTCCCTCGTGTCCTAAATCTTCCCTTTCATCCTCCAGACTTCGCCCATCTTCTACCTCACTCTCCCATTTAAGTTGATACACTAATTGTCCCCACAGTGAAGTTTGTCCGCTGCATTTGACCCTGTTCGATTTTCCTTCCGAATCAGTTTTCCGAGTAAGCTGACAAGCCACTTTTCCTGGAACGGCACGACTCGGACCTCGGTGGTGGAAAAAGTCGACCGAGCAAGGATTCCGAGTCAGAGTCCGAGGTGACTGCGCCGCTGTGATGTGTTTTCATTGTGTTTAGGCACTTTGGTGTTTAAATGACAGTTTCAGTCACTTGTATCACTCCAGTACTTTACTGCATCTGTATCACTGCCTGTGGGTTTGGGAGTGGGTGTTATTAGTGGTGAGGGTGGGCACCACACTCCCCCACATCTCCACAACCCGAGTTACAGATCACAGAGGCACGGGGCACTGGCCCACAGAACCAGAGGAGCTCTGGCGGGTTAAAATATTTTAGGAACCCGTCCCATCCAGCAGACAGGTGATGCACGGGCTCACACAAGGCTGACGGCCTCGCCGTGCCTCACCACGGGTGTTAACGTCCCTAAGGTTGTACCAGAAGAGAAATCATAATATAAAATGAAGTACAAATTCCAAAAATCTAATTAATTAAAGTATCAGTTTTTCATAGGATGAAGGTGAAGTCATAATCATAATCCACATAGTCCAACACGCCAAACATAATGAAACGCTTCAAACTGGGACGTGACGTCAAGTCCGAGATCCAAGTGGGAGTCAAAAGAAGATCAAACCCCCCCCCCACTCTCTCTTCAGTCCTCCTGTAATACTCACAGACTGTATTGACAGAAGTATCTGCGCTGACACAGCTGAACATTCTTCTTGTGAATATTTCATGAGGTGCAGCTGTTTATCTGATGTTCTTTAAACTCAGGTTACTAAAGGTCTGAGTTTTAATGACTTAAAACGTGAAAAACAGAATAGTTCATTTTCAACAGTTTGCAGGGCTCCAGTCCTCACTCACATGCTCTTCCTAAATATTGAATAATAAATGCATAAAGAAGCTCATAGACAGAAGTCCCTAAAGGAGACGAAAATTGTACTTAAAATGTAAAATACTTGAGGTAAAGTATAAAGTACAGTAGTCCACAACAATACTCAAGTAAGAGTAACTTAGGGAAACTACTTCTCAAGTAAAAGTAACTGTCAAGACGTAACATCTGAATTATAATTTGACCTTAATATCATTGGAAAGACAAAAACAGAAACAGCACATATAAAGATAAACATACTGACAGAACAGATATTATCCAGCAGGAAACTTCTAAAATCCTCCTTTATTCAGTCTTAGTTCTTACGTTGATGCAGTTTGTAGAGTTCTTACCGTGGTGCAGAGGAGGTCCTGCCCAGAGCAGACGGTCTGTGCCGGTTTTAAACTCTGAGCTCCTCCCTCAGGTCCTCGGGTCCTCGGGTCCTCGGGTCCTCAGGTCCTGAGCTCACGGACTCACAGTGTTCACATTCAGAGAACATGTCTGACTTTCTACGCACAGTCGGACAATTTATATAAACTAGGAAGAAAAGGACTAATCCAGGACTAAACCAGGACTAAACAAATGACCAGGTTGGACTGAGCCAGGACAGATACTTAACCGTATTAAAAATATTATTGATAGAAGAGGAGGAGACATGTCCGCGCAGCATGGTTTAGTCCTGTTAAATCCTGTTTTAGTCCTGTTTTAGTCCCAGTTTAGATCTAGTTTAGTCCTAGTTTTAGACCTGGTTTTAGTCCTGGTTTAGATCTAGTTTAGACCTGGTTTTAGTCCTGGTTTAGGTCCTGGTTTAGTCCTGGTTTAGACCTGGTTTTAGTCCTGGTTTAGTCTTGGTTTAGATCTAGTTTAGACCTGGTTTTAGACCTGGTTTAGACCTGGTTTTAGTCCTGGTTTAGATCTAGTTTAGACCTGGTTTTAGTCCTGGTTTAGTCCTGGTTTAGATCTAGTTTAGACCTGGTTTTAGTCCTGGTTTAATTTCCAGCAATGAGTGGAATTATCAAAAAAAAAAAAGTAAACAAAAATAAAAGGAAGATCCCTCTGTTTAATCCATTTATTTCAACAAAGTAACTGTAATCCAATTACCACTCACTGAAACAGTAACTGTAACTGAATACAGTTACTCATCATTTGTACTCTGATTACATAACTCTGGTACATGTAATCTGTTACTCCCCAACACTGAAAATAAAATAGTGAAACTAAAACAGTGAATCGAGTGTGAAATTAAAGAAAACTGTTCTGTGGATTTATGACGAACATGAGTCTGTGTCGTCACATTTTGTGTTTTGTCCTTTTGAATCAGATTTTTTTTTTTTTTTTTTTTTTGACACAAACAAATGTCAGTTTGTGTCTCTTTACTGTTCAGGATCAGAGTGGTCCAAAATATTGACACTGGGACATTTCTTGGGACATGTCAGTGGTTTTGTATAAAAGTGCAGGGACATGTCCTCGTCCTGAGACTCTGAGGCACAAACGGACACGGACAAAACAACACAACATTTCATTGCATCATTTTTATTTAAATACATTTCAAGTGTTTGGTTTTTTTTTTTGTCTTCAGCTAAAGTTGTTCGTCTCTTCAGGCACAAAGAAAAAAACAGTTTATGAAGTTTTCACATTAATTTAAAATATTTAATATTTTAAATAATAAAAAATAAACCAAACGTGTTTTGAAGCGTCACAGAAACGTCTGTGTGACGCTCAACACAGGAAAGAAGAAATTAAATAAAAAATAAAAGAAAAAAGAAAAACAACAGGAAATCAGCTCTGAAACTGACAACAAAACGAGAGTCACATGACGCTCGTTCTGCGTCCTGATTGGACAAACGTCCGGAACCAAAACGAACAACAACAACAAAATAGAACAGAAATAAACGACATCAGCTGCAGTGTTTTTGTTAAAAGAATAAATCTGTGTTATTCTCTGGGACTTTGGTTTGTGGGCGGAGCCTCGTACAGGCTCGTACTGTTAACCGTCAGGAGGGTCTGAGGCCAGGACAGATCACTAGATGACTCAAACATGCATGAGTCTAGAACCTCCTAAAAATCAAATCAAAATGATCCCGAGTTTGAGTTTCAGAATCTCGGCGTCGACTCGTCTCCGTCACTGCTTTCCCTCCTGCTCCTGCCCGCCGGTCTCTGCTCCGGCCTCCGCTCCAGGTCCTGGTCCTGGTCCTGGTCCTGGTCCTTGAGTCCCTGCCCCTGTCCCTGCACCTGCCTCTGCACCAGTCTGTGATAGACTCGTCCTCGGGCCATGAGCTCGGCGTGGCTCCCCTGCTCCTCCACTCGTCCGTCCACGATCACCACGATGTGATCGGCTTTTTCCACCGAACTCAGACGATGAGCCACGACCAGAACCGTCCGACCCAACATGGCCGCCGCCAGGGCCTGCTGCACCTGCCACCCACAGACAGGAGCGGACAGGAGCAGGGTAAGACAGGAGCAGGCAGGAGCAGACAGGAGCAGGTGCAGACAGGAGCTGACAGGTGCAGACAGGAGCTGACAGGAGCAGGCAGGAGCAGACAGGAGCAGACAGGAGCAGGCAGAAGCAGACAGGAGCAGGCAGGAGCAGACAGGAGCAGGCAGGAGCAGGACAGGAGCAGACAGGAGCAGCAGGAGCAGACAGGAGCAGACAGGAGCAGACAGGAGCAGACAGGAGCAGACAGGAGCAGACAGGAGCAGGCAGGAGCAGGCAGGAGCAGACAGGAGCAGACAGGAGCAGACAGGAGCAGACAGGAGCTGACAGGAGCTGACAGGAGCAGACAGGAGCAGACAGGAGACAGGAGCAGACAGGAGCAGACAGGAGCAGGCAGGAGCAGACAGGAGCAGGAGCAGACAGGAGCAGACAGGAGCAGACAGGAGCAGGAGCACAGGAGCAGGCAGGAGCAGGAGCAGGCAGGAGCAGACAGGCAGCAGACAGGAGCAGACAGGAGCAGACAGGAGCAGGAGCAGGAGCAGACAGGAGCATGACAGGAGCAGAGGAGCAGCAGGACAGGAGCAGGACAGGAGCAGGCAGGAGCAGGACAGGAGCAGGCAGGAGCAGACAGGAGCAGACAGGAGTACCTTGTGTTCACTGTGGGCGTCTAAGGCGCTCGTGGCCTCGTCCAGGATCAGGACTCGGGGGTTTCTGACCAGAGCTCGAGCGATGGCGACTCGCTGTTTCTGACCCCCAGACAACTGAGCACCTTTCTCCCCCACACCTGCACACGACGCACAACAACACAACATAACAACATAACACATACACACAACACAACACAACATAACACAACACACATATACACACAACATAACACACAACACACATATACACACAACATAACACACAACACAACATAACACACACACATATACACACAACATAACACACATAACACACAACACAACATAACACACACACATAACACAACACACACATACACACAACACATATACACACATATACACACAACACACACAACACACATAACACAACACAACATAACACACAACATAACACAACACATAATACACACACACACACAACACACACACAACATATACACACACACACAACAACACACACACACACACACATAACACAACACACATAACACACAACACACACACACACAACATAACACACATACACACATACACACAACACACACAACACATAACACAACATAACACACATAACACATAACACACAACACATAACACAACACACATATACACACAACACACAACACATATACACACAACATAACACACAACACACATATACACACAACATAACACATACACACAACACAACATAACACAAACACACATATACACACAACATAACACACAACATAACACAACATAACACACAACACCCATATACACACAACATAACACACAACACACATATACACACAACATAACACATACACACATACACACACATACACACACAAAACACACATATACACACAACACACACATACACACAACACAACATAACACACATATACACACAACATCACACACAACATAACACACAACACACAACACAACACAACACACACATAACACACAACACACATATACACACAACATAACACACAACACACATATACACACAACACATAACACACAACATAACACACAACACACAACACAACATAACACACACACATATACACACAACATAACACATACACACAACATAACACAACACACATATACACACAACACACATATACACACAACACAACATAACACAACATCATATACACACAACACAACATAACACAATGTGTGTGTGTGTCTGTGTGTGTGTTGTGTGTGCGTTGGCGTGTGTGTTGTGTGTGTGTTGTGCGTCGTACATGTGTCGTATCCTCAGTGTAGTGCGTTGATGAAGTCGTGTGTGTGTGTTGTGTGTGTGTGTGTGTGTGTGTGTTGTGTGTGCGTTGGCGTGTGTGTTGTGCGTCGTACATGTGTCGTATCCTCGTTGGAGTGCGTTGATGAAGTCGTGTGCTTTGTGTGTGTGTTGTGTGTGTTGTGTGTGTGTGTGTGTGTGTGTGTGTGTGTGTGTGTGCGTGTACATGTGTCGTATCCTCGTTGGAGTGCGTTGATGAAGTCGTGTGTGTTGTGTGTGTGTTGTGTGTGTGTGTGTGTGTGTGTGTGTGTGTGTTGTGCGTCGTACATGTGTCGTATCCTCGTTGGAGTGCGTTGATGAAGTCGTGTGTGTTGTGTGTGTGTTGTGTTGTGTGTGTGTGTGTGTGTGTGTGTGTGTGTGTGTGTGTGTTGCGTCGTACATGTGTCGTATCCTCGTTGGAGTGCGTTGATGAAGTCGTGTGCGTTGGCGTGTGTGTTGTGTGTGTGTTGTGTGTGCGTTGGCGTGTGTGTATGTGTGTGTGTTGTGCGTCGTACATGTGTCGTATCCTCGTTGGAGTGTGTTGATGAAGTCGTGTGTGTTGTGTGTGTGTTGTGTGTGTGTTGTGTGTGTGTTGTGTGTGTGTTGTGTGTGTGTGTTGTGCGTCGTACATGTGTCGTATCCTCGTTGGAGTGCGTTGATGAAGTCCTGTGTGTGTTGTGTGTGTGTGTGTGTGTGTTGTGTGTGTGTGTGTGTGTGTGTGTGTGCGTCGTACATGTGTCGTATCCTCGTTGGAGTGCGTTGATGAAGTGTGTGTGTGTGTGTGTGTGTTGTGTGTGTGTTGTGCGTCGTACATGTGTCGTATCCTCGTTGGAGTGCGTTGATGTGTGTGTGTGTGTGTGTTGTGTGTGTGTTGTGTGTGTGTTGTGCGTCGTACATGTGTCGTATCCTCGTTGGAGTGTGTTGATGAAGTCGTGTGCGTTGGCGTTCTTGGCGGCTCGTTCCACGTTCTCTCTGGTCACATGACTCAGTCCGTACGAGATGTTTTCCTCGACGCTTCGAGCAAAAAGAACCGGCTCCTGCCCGACCAGCGCCACCTGTCACACACAACACCTGTCACACACAGCACCTGTCACACACAACACCTGTCACACTGTCACACACAACACCTGTCACACACAACACCTGTCACACACCAATGCTACCTGTCACACACAACACCTGTCACACACAACACCTGTCACACACAACACCTGTCACACACCAGCGCCACCTGTCACACACAACACCTGTCACACACCAACATGCACCTGTCACACACAACACCTGTCACACACCAGCGCCACCTGTCACACACAACACCTGTCACACACCAATGCCACCTGTCACACACAACACCTGTCACACACAACACCTGTCACACGCCAATGCTACCTGTCACACACAGCACCTGTCACACACAATGCCTGTCACACACAACGCCTGTCACACACAACACCTGTCACACACCAGCGCCACCTGTCACACACAACACCTGTCACATACACCAATGCTACCTGTCACACACAACACCTGTCACACACAGCACCTGTCACACACAACGCCTGTCACACACAACACCTGTCACACACCAGCGCCACCTGTCACACACCAACGCCACCTGTCACACACCGAGACACCTGTCACACACCAATGCCACCTGTCACACACAACACCTGTCACACACCAACGCCACCTGTCACACACCAACGCCACCTGTCACACACCAGCGCCACCTGTCACACACAACACCTGTCACACACCAATGTCACCTGTCACATACACCTGTCACACACCAGCGCCACCTGTCACACACCAGTGCCACCTGTCTAACACAACACCTGTCACACACCAGTGCCACCTGTCACACACAACACCTGTCACACACCTGTCACACCCACCTGTCACACACACAACCACCTGTCACACACCAACACCTGTCACACACCAATGCCACCTGTCACACACCAATGTCACCTGTCACACACACCTGTCACACACCAACACCTGTCACACACCAATGTCACCTGTCACACACACCTGTCACACACCAGTGCCACCTGTCTAACACAACACCTGTCACACACCAGTGCCACCTGTCACACACAACACCTGTCACCACAGCACCTGTCACACACCAGCGCCACCTGTCACACACACACAGCACCTGTCACACACCAGCACCTGTCACACACAGCACCTGTCACACACCAGCGCCACCTGTCACACACAGCACCTGTCACACACCAACGCCACCTGTCACACACACAACACCTGTCACACACCAGCGCCACCAGCCACAGAGACAGCACCTGTCACACCGAGATGCCTGTCACACAGAGACAGCACCTGTCACACACCAAGACACCTGTCACACTGAGACGCCTGTCACACCGACTGATGATGAGAACCTGAACACACACCTGAGAGTGCAGGTAGAGGTGACGCAGGGTCTGCACCGGCCGCCCGTCCAACAGCACCTGACACGACAGGAGCAGAGTCACTGACACGACAGGAGCAGAGTCACTGACACGACAGGAGCAGAGTCACTGACACGACAGGAGCAGGGCCACAGGGCAGGGGTTACACACATTTCATTTATTTTATTTAGAAACTGTATAACATGTAAAGCACTCACCTGTCGCTCAGACTCACCTGTCGCTCAGACTCACCTGCGCTCAGACTCACCTGCCGCTCAGACTCACCTGCCGCTTTGTGTGTCAGGTGCTCACCTGTCCGCTCTGTGGCAGGTAGAAGTTCTCCAGGAGGCTGACGCAGGAGCTTTTTCCTCCACCAGAGGGACCCACCAACGCCGTCACCTGCCCCGGCCGCAGGGTGAACGACACGCCCTGAAAACACACAGCAACATAACACCTGTCAGCACCTGTCAACACCTGTCAACACCTGCCCTGAAAACACAGCTCATGATAACATCTGTGGACTTGAACTTTAACTTAATACGAGTTCTGTGTCGACAGGTGACAGGAGCAGGTAACAGGTAACAGGAGCAGGTGACAGGAGCAGGTGAAAGGTGACAGGTGACAGGAGCAGGTGACATTTGCAGGTAACAGGTAACAGGAGCAGGTGACAGGACCAGGTAAAAGGGGACAGGAGCAGGTGGCAGGTGACAGGAGCAGGTGACAGGACCAGGTGAAAGGTGACAGGAGCAGGTGGCAGGTGACAGGAACAGGTGACAGGTAACAGGACCAGGTGACAGGTGACAGGAACAGGTGACAGGAGCAGGTGACAGGAGCAGGTGACAGGAGCAGGTGACAGGACCAGGTAAAAGGTGACAGGAGCAGGTGACAGGTTACAGGAGCAGGTGACAGGAGCAGGTGACAGGACCAGGTGAAAGGTGACAGGAGCAGGTGGCAGGTAACAGGAGCAGGTGACAGGAGCAGGTGCAAACTGATGTGAGTCTCAGGAAAAGACAAAATGTCATGACTAAAATCTAATGTTTTTTCTTAGCATTTTCTCCACAAACACACAGACCTCTTTCCTCTGCACCTGCCCTCTCTGCACCTGCCTCTCTGCACCTGCCCCTCTGCACCTGCCTCTCTGCACCTGCCTCTCTGCACCTGCCTCTCTGCACCTGCCTCTCTCCATTTTGACAAACTGAAGTGTGTTTGTGCAGGATCAGGTCGTTCATGTTTGTTTTGGTTCTTTTGAGGGCTTCAGCTTTGGCTCCACCCACACCACAACCCTGCGCTGCAAGTTCTGCTCATGTGAGGTGTGTGTGACAGGTGTGACATGTGTGACAGGTGTGACAGGTGTGGCAGGAGCGTCATACCTTCAGTACGGGCGTGTTTGGTCTGGTGGGGTAGCTAAAGGTCACGTCTTTAAACTCCACGAGTCCAGAGCAGGAGTCCGGTTCTTCGGTTCCTCGTTCTGCAGAGTGTTCAGGTTCTCGGTCCAGATACTCAAAGACCTTCTCTGCAGCCCCCACCCCCTGCATCAGGCCCGTGTACACCGACGCCATGCTCTGACAGGACAGGAGCGACAGGGACAAGCAGATTAAAGAACAGTACCTCGGCCTCGGGTCTCAATACGACTTGGACACAGACAGTTCTCGCCTTTTCATCACAAAAGAGTCATTTTCAACTTAAACTAATTTAAGGAGTTGAGGCGCTGTGGAGCCGCTGAACAAGATGGCAGCTTAGCGTGGGTTCTCCTCAACAACTCTGCTAAAAGTTTTAAAATCCTGGTAACCGTCGCTTTCCATTACGTCCACAACATGTCTAAACAAACAACGATTAAAGACTGTGAGATTAGCTCCAGATCACGCAGTGCTCAGAAGCCCAAAACTAGTTCCGCACCGACTGCGCTAGCTGACAATGAGCCACAGAGCGAGCTAGCTGCCGTGTTGAGTGAGCTACAAGCGATGCGCACCAAAATCAACTCGATTGACACAAAAATAGACACCATCGATAGCTTTGGTGGCAAGCTTGACAAACTGGTGAACGTATAACTGAGGTGAACAAGTCTGTCATTGCGGTGAAAGGGAGCTTCGCTACTCTAAAGAAGGACATCTCTGCCAATGCTACGCGGCTTACGGAGGCTGAAAGCCGCATTGGAACTGCCGAAGATAGTTTGGAAAGTGTGAAATCTGAACTTGTTGCTGCTACAAAGCGGATTGCTTATTTGGAGTCAAAGACGGTAGATCTGGAAAACCGTGGTCGGAGGAAAAACTTAAGACTCGTGGGACTTCCCGAAGGCGCTGAAGGCACCCAGCCGATGACTGACTACATCCAGCGTATGATGCCGCTCTGGTTGGGTCTCGACGCTGCCACCAATTATACTCTGGAAAGAGCGCACCGCACTTTGGGGAAACCAAAACCGGGTCAAAACCGAGTCGTGCTCATCCGTTTCCTGCGCTTTCAGGACCGTGAGTTTATTTTTCGCACAGCCAAGAACCGCACCATCAACCACGAGGGCCACAGGATCTTCTTCGCGCAGGACTTCTCAGCTGAAACCATGAAGGCGAGGAGCCCATTCAACTCAGTGAAGAAGAAGTTCATTGATGCTGGAACTTTCCGGGGATTCCAAGTACACCCTTGCAAGATGAGAATTCTTCACAACGGGAGAATTGTTCTTTTTTCTACACCAGAGGAAGCTGAGGACTTTCAGTTAAACTAACTTGTTTTACATGACCATGGAGCACAGGTAACTTCAGTAGACTTGATATGGGTAACAGAAGGGGTGCACGCTGCTCAACTTTCACCTACGTATATTATCATTTAGACGTGTAGGTATTACACTTGATGCTTTCTCACCCATTATTATTATTATTTATTATTATTTTGATAGATTTTTGATATCCAAATTTAAACTACCAGAGCTGGTGGACAATTTATGTTATGCACCTACCTTTAGCCTGAAGTACTAAGAGTGTCATGGATACTATGCGTTACAGTTCGATAGACTAGGATAAAGTTATTTTAAGGTAACAGTTGTTAAGATGCGGAGTTGGGGGAGACCACGTGGGATGTAGAGGTGAGATCGGGCCTAAAAAATCCAGCCCGACCCGACCCGGCCGCGGTATTAAAACCCGACCCGGCCCGAGCCCGACCAATTAACTTGATTTGCAGGCCCGAGCCCGAAGCAAACCCGAAATGTCATATTTTATTTGTGACTCGGGAGGAGGAGCAGTGCTCAGCGTCGAGGTGCCAGTCTTTTTGCTCTCGTATGAAAAGCAAAGCGCCACATTAACGACATTCAGCGAAGCCAACGCAAGTTTCTGTAGCATTTTCAACAATCAATTTGAAGCTTTTCCACACCTCACTCTTACCGGTGCGTGTTTGTCTTTTCAGTTCTCCTGCCTTTAGTTTTAACTTCTTGCTCCTCCATATTGGGGACACCAGGTCAAAATAGATGCAGACTTGCGGAGGGGAAGATTATTAAATGAAGAGGGGCGTTCACGTGCGCAGAGCTCTGGCTCTGCGGATCCTGTTTAGTAGTTAAATAGCAATTACATTACATTACTTCTCTGTTTTATCCATATTATTTATTTTATAACAAGTATTCCTTAGTTTAGTATCCACACATCGTTTTAGCATACATTTTATAAACATATATTTATTTGAAAAAAAGTCAGCGAAAGAGAAGCCCGACCCGACCCGAAGTAATGATTGACATTTTAGGCCCGACCCGACCCGAAATGGCTTGGGCTTGGGCTCGGTCTTAAGATCTTACCTCTAGTGGGATGCCTGAGAGAGGTGACTGCACAGTTTAGTCATTCCTCATTTTTTTTCTGTGGATTGACACTTGCCCTTACACTGTTCAGGTTAAATAAGGGAAGGGAGTTGGGATTTGAGGGGTCTTTTATGTATTTTTGTATGTTTAGTTTTATTTTTGTACTTTTCACTATCCTTGGCTATTTGATTTTTGTCACACTCAATGCAGTTACCCTATTACATTTAAGATTATGGAAAGATCAAACTTGTCTGATTTAGGGATTACGAGCTGGAATGTCAGGGGACTCAATAAAATGTCAAAATTGAAGCAGGTTATGAACAGACTTAAAAGTTTACATTCTAAAATAATATTTCTTCAGGAAACTCACATTAGTACTACTGAAATTAAGTATGTGCAGCGTAGATGGCCAGGTCAGGTTATACATGCATCTTATAATAATTCCGCTCGAGGTGTTTTAATCCTTATCCACAAAATGATTCCTTTTCATCTTACTAAAACTATTCAAGATCCTCAAGGTAGACTTGTTATTGCTCAGGGTAATATATTCTCTCTCGCATTGAATCTGGTTTGCCTATATGGACCTAACGAGGACAATCTTAAATTTTTTGAGGAGTTTTTTTTAACCCTGTCCTCATTACAGGGTTTAAACATTATTGGTGGGGATTTCAACTGTACGTTGAACCCCTTGTTAGATCGTTCCACTAAATCTGATCCACATAAAAAACAATGTAGGAAAACAATAATGCAATATATGAAAGATTTAAACTTGACAGAAATTTGGAGAAACCTTAACCCTGATAAAATAGAGTACTCATGCTACTCAGGTATACATAAGTCCAGATCTCGCATCGACTATTTCTTAGTATCACAAGAACTGGTATCCAGAATTACAAATTGTTGGTATGATTGTATATTCATTAGTGACCACTCTCCTATCTCAATGTCTGTAATGGTGGACAAGCTAACACGATCTCCTCCTATCTGGCGTATGCAAGTAAAATGGCTTCAAAATCCAGAATTTGTCACATACATAGAGAGCAAGATTAATGCTTATTTTGAAATGAATACTGATCAAACAAATGCGTCCATACGATGGGAGGCTTTTAAAGCATATATTCGAGGGCAAATTATAAGCTTTACAAGTTCTAAAAGTAAAAAACAAAGAGAAAAAATTATCAAATTAGAGAAACAAATAAAATCTTTAGAAACAGAAATAAATAAGAGAGATGACCCTGAAAAACAAAAACGCTTAGTAATTTTAAGAACAGAGTATAATAAAATAACAGCTGAGAAGGCAGCCAAAAGTTTATTGTGGTTAAATCAGACCTTCTATGATCAGGGTGAAAAAGCTGGCAAATTGTTGGCATGGAGAATTAAAAAAATTGAATCCGAAAGGGCTATCAATTGTGTATCCACACAACCAGGAAACATGATAAATGATCCACAAGGTATTAACAACGCATTTAAAGAATTCTACCAATCATTGTACAAATCAGAATGGCCTCCTTCCACCACTGATAGAGATGCATTTCTGAACCATCTTGAGTTTAAAACTATTGCAGAAGAGGCTCAACAGGATTTGGATAGTGATATTACCGTCCAAGAGCTATTACAGGCCATTAAAAGCATTAATTCGGGCAAGGCTCCAGGTCCAGATGGCCTGCCTATAGAATTTTACAAAACCTTTCATAATCAGTTAGTAACTCCACTTCTAAATATGTTTATGGAGTCATTAAATAATGGTATCTTACCTCCGACTTTAAGACTAGCAACAATAATCCTTATTTTAAAACCTAACAAAATACCTACTGACTGCTCTTCATACAGGCCCATCAGCCTTATGGGGGTCGATACAAAAATATTGTGTAAAGTTCTCGCTAAAAGATTAGACCCACACATTCCCCATTTGGTGCATAATGACCAAAATGGGTTTGTACAAAATCGTCAAGGTTTTCATAACATTAGAAGAGTCCTAAATATAATTCACTACACAAACAACACAAGGGATACAGCACTTCTGTCTCTAGATGCAAGACAAGCGTTTGATAGGATTGAGTGGCCTTACTTGTTTAGTGTGTTACCGAAATATGGACATGGATTAAATTATTATACACAAACCCCACAGCTTGTGTAAAGACGAACAACAACATATCAAGCCAGATAACACTAGAAAGATCGACTAGACAGGGCTGCCCCCTTTCACCGCTGTTGTTTATTTTAGCCATCGAACCCCTGGCTGTGTCTATTAGAACTGACGCAAATCTTTCAGGAATAAGTGTCGGAGGATGTGAACACAGAATATCATTATATGCTCACGACGTGATTCTTTTTTTTATCAAATCTATCAACTAGTATTCCAACAATTTTACAATGAATCAATAAATTTGGTCAGTTCTCTGGATACAACATTAACAACTCAAAATCCTCCATACTTTTCTTAAACAAAGAAGAAAGATCCCACCCAGTCATACGCACTCCATTTTACAATGCGAGAGATGGATTTACCTACCTTGGAATTAGAGTTACTCCACAAATAAACACTCTCTTTAATACAAACTATGAACCGCTGTTGAGTGATATGCGAGACTCACTTGAAAAATGGACAACAATGCCCTTATCAATGATAGGCCGAATTAACTTAATTAAGATGACAATTCTACCAAAATTTTTATATTTGTTTCAATCTCTTCCTCTCCCATTGCCAAATTCATTTTTTAAAGAAATTAATAATGTACTTTGTAGATTTATCTGGAATAACAGAAAACCCAGACTTAGACTTAAATTACTGTACCTGCCGTATGACAGGGGGGTTTTCAAATGCCTTGTTTTCAGTGGTGTTACTGGGCTGCTCAGCTACTATGTGCTATGTTTTACTTTTCCACACAATCCTCTCCAGCATGGGTTTCTATTGAACAATCATCATCTAAATTGCCATTATGCCTTTACTTATACTCTGCAGATATTAAAAAACTAATTAAAAAAACAACTAACCCTTTTCTTAAAAATACAATCAATATTTGGTTTAAAGCTCATAGACATATTGGTGATACACTCTCCATCTCTCGATTCTCTCCCATTTGGGGTAATACCCAGTTTGCTCCGGGCAGATGGTGGTTTCAAGAATTGGGCAGGCCAAGGTCTGCAGAAAGTAGCAGATTTATATGTTCAAGGTAATTTACTAACATTTAATGACATCTGCTTGAAATATTCCATCCCCAAAAAACATTTTTTTAAATATCTGCAGTTGAAACATTTTATCTCATCAAAACATTATGACATTGTGCATGAGCCGCCGCTGTCCTGCCTGGAGGACACTGTCATGAAGCATATACATGGGAGACGGCGTATTTCCATACTATACGCCACACTTGTTTCTCATGACAAAGAATCCAGCATGGATAGAATGGGAGCCTGGAGTTTAGATATCAAGGAAAATATTAATGAAGCAGAGTGGGCAGCTGCTTGTTTAAAAGCTCAAACACGCACTATTAACACAAGATTGAAATTATTACAACACAAATGCCTAATGAGGACATACATAACCTCTGAAAAACTTAGTAAGTGGTCCTCGGGCATTCCAGACACTTGTAATAAATGTTCGGCTGAGAGGGGCACCTTAATTCACTGTGTATGGGAATGTCCTAAATTGGTAACTTTTTGGAAAATGGTGATTTGTACCTTAAGTAAAATTGTTGGCCTTCGGGTGCCTCTCTCGGCAAAACTGTGTGTCCTCGGAATAAACCCAGACAACTTCACTGTCAGCTCTAAAAGAAAGACTCTGATCGACTTTGGCCTCCTGCAGGCCAGGAGGACGGCTGCTTTATCGTGGAAAGAGACTGAAGTTTCTTCTAAACAGTCCTGGATAAGAGAAATGTCTTTGTGTGTTACACTGGAAAAGCTGACCTATATCATTAGAGGTAAAGCACAGGAATTCGAAGAAGTATGGACACCCTTAATGGTCTTTCTCAGAAAACTATAGTTGTGACAGAGTGTGACAATTATTATTATTCTTTATATATTATTTAATTTTTGTTATTATTATTTTTATTTTTATTTTTTTGCTTTTTTTTTTATTTATGTGTATGTATTTACTTTTGTTTTTTATTATTATTATTTTATATATATATATTTTTTTTTATTATTGTTTTAAATTTGCCATATTGTTATTTCTTTACATATGCTTATATGCATATGTGTTTAAACACGTGTATATTTGCTAGATATGGTACAGCACTTGCTATGCAATTACAAATTTCTTAATTGAAAACTAATAAAAAACATTGTGGAAAAAAAAAACTAATTTAAGGAGTTTCTTTAATATCAAGTACCAGATTTTTTTTGAATAAGTACATTTTGTGTTTTTGTGTATTTTATTACAAAATCTTCTCTTTGTGACAAAATGGAAGTGAACACATTTGTAAAATTTGGCTTTTATCATTTGTGGCTTTTATCTAAAATGAAATGTTTTTATTGTTTAAATGATCTGAACAGGTCACACACACTTTTGTCTCGTGTCATTTAAACGACTGAAACACACTTTTCTCTGACGTCAGCCTCCTGCACTTCCTCACAACCCCAACCCCAACCACAGCCGAGGAGACACCAGGACAAACCTTCTGCTCCTCCACTTTTCACTGGAGCCACAAACGTGAGCACATGATCCTGGTTTTAGTGTTAAGTCTAGTTAAGTTTAGTTTAAGTCTCATCTTAAAACTTTTTTAACACACACTTTTACTCAGTGGATTTAACACCGCGGGAGTCGTGTGCTGCTCTGTGTCTTTTATTTACTTATTTATTGCTATTTTATCATTTTTATGGTTTTGGTTTTATTGTTTTAGATATGACCCAGTTTTGGTCTGGGAACATCTCAGGTTCAACCAGAGGAGCAGGAGGAAGTGTCCGGGGTGAGGGAAGTCTGGGAGTCTCTGCTCAGACTGAAGCTCCCGAGACCTGACGCTTTATTTAACTTTATTTAACTTTATTTAACTTTATTTAACTTTATTTAACATTATTTAACTTTATTTTACGTTGTTTAACTTTATTTAACATTATTTAACTTTATTTACTTTATTTAACTTTATTTAACTTTATTTAACTTTATTTTACGTTGTTTAACTTTATTTAACTTTAGCTTTATTTAACTTTATTTAACATTATTTAACTTTATTTAACCTTATTTAACTTTATTTTACGTTGTTTAACTTTATTTAACTTTATTTTACGTTGTTTAACTTTATTTAACTTTAGCTTTATTTAACTTTATTTAACTTTATTTAACGTTTATTTAACGTTATTTAACTTTATTTAACATTATTTAACTTTATTTTACGTTTTAACTTTATTTTACGTTGTTTAACTTTATTTAACTTTAGCTTTATTTAACTTTATTTAACTTTTTAACTTTATTTAATTTTTTAACGTTTTAACTTTTATTTAACTTTTTAACTTTTTTATTTAACTTTATTTAACTTTATTTAACTTTCGTTTTTTATTTTTAACTTTATTTTACTTTAGCTTATTTAACTTTATTTAACTTTATTTAACGTTATTTAACTTTATTTAACATTATTTAACTTTATTTTACGTTGTTTAACATTATTTAACTTTATTTTACGTTGTTTAACATTATTTAATTTTATTTAACTTTATTTTGTGTTCTGTGCAGCTCTTTCTTTGTTTGTAAACTGTCCCGCAGACAGATCAGATCAGAGTCGGTTTGCTCAGCTCTGATTGGCTGTGAGTGGTTCCAGTTTCACTCATGGGTCTCACCACAGGGACGAGAGACACGAGAGACACGAGAGACACGAGAGACACGAGACACGAGAGACACGAGAGACACGAGAGACACGAGCGAGACACACGAGACACGAGACACGAGAACGAGAGACACGAGAGACACGAGACACGAGACACGAGAGACACGAGAGACACGAGACACGAGAGACACGAGACACACGAGAGACACGAGAGACACGAGAGACACGAGAGACACGAGAGACACGAGACACGAGACACGAGACACACGAGAGACACGAGAGACACGAGAACACGAGACACGAGAGACACGAGAGACACGAGAGACACGAGAGACACGAGACACGAGAGACACGAGAGACACGAGAGACACGAGAGACACGAGTCACACCAGTGACACCAGTGACACCAGTGACACCAGTGACACCAGTGACACCAGTGACACGAGTGTCACACCAGTGACACCAGTGACACCAGTGACACCGGGCAGAGTTAAAACAGTTTGACTCTTTGTCCAGACTGAACAGGAGAGAGTTTCTCACCTCCAGACACTCCCCGAGCTGCAGCATGTAGATGAAGAAGGAGATGAGAGCTCCAGACGAGAGCTGCTCCGACACCACCAGGTGTCCTCCATAAAACAGCACGGCCAACTCCAGAGCCACTTCAGACAACTGAAGACAGAGACACGTTTAACACAGATGCCCTCCCGTCCTCCTGCAGCGCACGGACAGACGGACGTACAGCAGAGTCAGAGCCGTACACCCGCCCGTACGCTCGCCCCGGGGCGATACTCACACAGCTGGACCACATGTAGAGGGCGTAGGCCAGGGCCTGTTTCTTGTTGAGCCTGAAGACCTGCAGCAGCTTGTCGTAGTACGACTCCGCCTCGCCTTGCTCATTGGCAAAACTCCGCACCGTCCTCATGGCCGACACCGTCTCCTCGGCGACGCGGTTCGCCTCGGCCAGAGTCGACTGCACCTCTTTGGACAGAGTCTGAGGGACAGAGGTGACGCAGAGAAGAATGACGTGTGTGACGCTAACAGGAGGCACTGCTCTGCCTGAACCTCTGTGTGAAGCACACAGGAGGCACTGCTCTGTCTGAACCTCTGTGTGACGCTAACAGGAGGCACTGCTCTGTCTGAACCTCTGTGTGACGCTAACAGGAGGCACTGCTCTGTCTGAACCTCTGTGTGACGCTAACAGGAGGCACTGCTCTGTCTGAACCTCTGTGTGACGCTAACAGGAGGCACTGCTCTGTCTGAACCTCTGTGTGACGCTAACCACTGCTCTGTCTGAGGTGACACTGCTCTGTCTGAACCTCTGTGTGACGCTAACAGGAGGCACTGCTCTGTCTGAGTCTCTGTGACTCGAGTCAAACTGACACAGAGAACAGAAAAGAACCGTTAAGTTTGTTCAGAAGAGTCGTCACTCTTCGCTTTGCTCACGGCTCTGAACTTTTCACTAATGAACCCCGACACACAAAACCATTTCAGGGACTTCATCCTGAAACTCAGAGACAGAAGGACGAGAACAAAGCAAAGGATGGACCTGAGTCTAAAACGCACAAAGCAGAGAAGAGCTGTGTCCAAACTCTGCCTGGACAAACCGTTTGAATGATCACAACATGAACTGATCCAGGACTAAATCAGAACTAAACTGGGAGTACCTTGTAGTAGTCCTCGTAGAGTAGTGAGTACCTTGTAGTAGTCCTCGTAGAGTAGTGAGTACCTTGTAGTAGTCCCGTAGAGTAGGTGAGTACCTTGTAGTAGTCCCCGTAGAGTAGTGAGTACCTTGTAGTAGTCCCCGTAGAGTAGTGAGTACCTTGTAGTAGTCCCCGTAGAGTAGTGAGTACCTTGTAGTAGTCCTCGTAGAGTAGTGAGTACCTTGTAGTAGTCCCCGTAGAGTAGTGAGTACCTTGTAGTAGTCCCGTAGAGTAGTGAGTACCTTGTAGTAGTCCCCGTAGAGTAGTGAGTACCTTGTAGTAGTCCCCGTAGAGTAGTGAGTACCTTGTAGTAGTCCCCGTAGAGTAGTGAGTACCTTGTAGTAGTCCCCGTAGAGTAGTGAGTACCTTGTAGTAGTCCCCGTAGAGTAGTGAGTACCTTGTAGTAGTCCCCGTAGTAGTAGTAGTGAGTACCTTGTAGTAGTAGTCCCCGTAGAGTAGTGAGTACCTTGTAGTAGTCCCCGTAGAGTGTAGTAGTGAGAGTACCTTGTAGTAGTCCCGTAGAGTAGTGGTGTAGTACCTTGTAGTAGTCCCCGTAGAGTAGTGAGTACCTTGTAGTAGTCCCCGTAGAGTAGGTGAGTACCTTGTAGTAGTCCCCGTAGTGTAGGTGAGTACCTTGTAGTAGTCCCCGTAGAGTAGTGAGTACCTTGTAGTAGTCCCCGTAGAGTAGTGAGTACCTTGTAGTAGTCCCCGTAGAGTAGTGAGTACCTTGTAGTAGTCCCCGTAGAGTAGTGAGTACCTTGTAGTAGTCCCCCGTAGAGTAGTGAGTACCTTGTAGTAGTCCCCGTAGAGTAGTGAGTACCTTGTAGTAGTCCCCGTAGTGTAGGTGAGTACCTTGTAGTAGTCCCCGTAGAGTAGGTGAGTACCTTGTAGTAGTCCCCGTAGAGTAGGTGAGTACCTTGTAGTAGTCCCCGTAGAGTAGTGAGTACCTTGTAGTAGTCCCCGTAGAGTAGTGAGTACCTTGTAGTAGTCCCCGTAGAGTAGTGAGTACCTTGTAGTAGTCCCCGTAGAGTAGTGAGTACCTTGTAGTAGTCCCCGTAGAGTAGTGAGTACCTTGTAGTAGTCCCCGTAGAGTAGTGAGTACCTTGTAGTAGTCCCCGTAGAGTAGTGAGTACCTTGTAGTAGTCCCCGTAGAGTAGTGAGTACCTTGTAGTAGTCCCCGTAGAGTAGTGAGTACCTTGTAGTAGTCCCCGTAGAGCTGGGACACGAGGCCGATGAAGGGGAAGCCCATGAGGGACACGATGGAAAGTTTCCAGCTCAGTCTGAACATGAAAACACTGAAGCCCATGGCCTTCACCGCACTGCGCAGAAAGATGTTCAGGTTCACTGACACCAGGTCACTGACCTGAGTCACGTCTGAGGACAGGCGAGACAGCAGGTCTCCTACAGAGACAGACAGAGAGACACCAGGTCACTGACCTGAGTCTCCTACAGAGAATTTTTTAGGTGAGACCATTTAAGAGTCCTGTAGTCCCCCGGGTCACTCCTCCTGAGCCACCTGCCAAGAGGCTCGCACCTGTCACACCGCACCTGTCACACCGCACCTGTCACACCGCACCTGTCACACCGCACCTGTCACACCGCACCTGTCACAGGTTAGTGAGGTGTGATTCAGCTGGAGCCTCAGATCTTCTCACTGGGTCATTCTGGGTAGATGTAGCAGTAGCAGTCGTAGTAGTCGTTGTAGTAGTAGTAGTATTTGCAGTAGTAGTAGCAGTAGTAGCAGTAGTAGTATTTGTAGTATTTGTAGTATTAGTAGAAGTATTGGCAGTACCTGTGTGGTTCTTGTCAAAGAAGCCGATCTCCTGTTTCATGAGGGTTCTGAACAGATGATTCCTCAGACGAAGATTCAACCGAGCGAAGATCAGAGTGAAAACTCCGCCCCTCACGCCCATCGCCAACGAACTGAAACACACACACACGTTTAAACGACTCCGCCCCTCACGCCATCGACTCCGCCCCTCACGCCCATCGCCAACGAACTGAAACACACACACACGTTTAAACGACTCCGCCCCTCACACCCACGACTCCGCCCCTCACGCCGTCGACTCCGCCCCTCACGCCATCGACTCCGCCCCTCACGCCCATCGCCAACGAAACTGAAACACACACACACGTTTAAACAACTCCGCCCCTCACGCCATCGACTCTACCCCTCACACCCACCACTCCGCCCCTCACACCCATGACTCCGCCCCTCACGCCATCGACTCCGCCCCTCACGCCTTCGCCAACGAACTGAAACACACACACAAGTTTAAACGAATCTGAAGGAGAGGCAAGAGTCAAAAATATTGAGTTTTCAATCTTTTTACAGACAAAAGTGAAATAAATGATAATTCCAGATCATTCCAGATCATTCCAGATAAACCCGCGTTCAAGTCGTCTGTGGCCGTTACCTGGCGACGGCGAGCGCGGCGAGGATCAGCACGGGTCTGGAGAAGTGCTCCAGGCTCTGGTGATGCACGATACTGTCGATGGCCACGCCGTAAAAGAACGGAATGAACGCCTCACCTGAAAGAACAGAACCAGAACTGAACCAGGACTGAACCAGGACTGAACCAGGACTGAACCAGGACTGAACCAGGACTCACAGACGGCGGAGATGAGGAGGAAGAGCGTTGCGATCGTCAGGAGTCCAGAGTCTTTTTTGCAGTAGCTGAGGAGTCGTCCCAGTGTGGCTCCAGAGTTTGGCTGCTCCGGCTCCTCTTTGGCTCCGGGTCTGGACTGGTCCTGGTTCTGGATCTGACCCGGGACTTTGGACCTGGTCTGGTCCTCCGATGGGTCCAGCAGCTGCTCAGTGTCCTCAGACGACGGAGGAGCCGCCTGTGAAGAAGGAACATTTAAAACTCTTTAATCTGAGGTTTAAGACACATTCTAATGTTCTAATGTTCTGATGTTCTAATGTTCTAATGTTCTGATGTTCTAATGTTCTAATGTTCTAATGTTCTAATCGTCAATGTTCTAATGTTCTAATGGTCTGATGTTCTAATGGTCTGATGTTCTAATGGTCTGATGTTCTAATGGTCTGATGTTCTGATGTTCTGATGTTCTAATGGTCTGATGTTCTAATGTTCTAATGGTCTGATGTTCTAATGTTCTAATGTCTGATGTTCTAATGTTCTATGTTCTAATTTCTAATGTTGATGTTCTAATGGTCTGATGTTCTAATGGTCTAATGTTCTAATGTCTGATGTTCTAATGTTCTAATGTCTGATGTTCTAATGGTCTGATGTTCTAATGTTCTAATGGTCTGATGTTCTAATGTTCTAATGGTCTGATGTTCTAATGTTCTAATGTTCTAATGGTCTGATGTTCTAATGGTCTGATGTTCTAATGTTCTGATGTTCTAATGTTCTAATGGTCTGATGTTCTAATGTTCTAATGTTCTGATGTTCTAATGTTCTGATGTTCTAATGTTCTGATGTTCTAATGGTCTGATGTTCTAATGTTGTTCTAATGTTCTAATGTCTGATGTTCTATGTTCTAATGGTCTGATGTTCTAATGTTCTAATGTCTGATGTTCTAATGTTCTAATGTTGATGTTCTATGTTCTAATGTTATGTTCTAATGTCTGATGTTCTAATGTTCTGATGTTCTACTGTTTCTATGTCTGATGTTCTAATGTTCTAATGTCTGATGTTCTACTGTTCTAATTGTCTGATGTTCTAATGTTCTAATGGTCTGATGTTCTAATGTTCTAATGTTCTAATGTTCTGATGTTCTAATGTTCTAATGGTCTGATGTTCTAATGTTCTGATGTTCTACTGTTCTAATGGTCTGATGTTCTAATGTTCTGATGTTCTAATGTTCTAATGGTCTGATGTTCTAATGTTCTGATGTTCTACTGTTCTGATGTTCTAATGTTCTGATGTTCTAATGTCTGATGTTCTAATGTCTGATGTTCTAATGGTCTATGTTCTAATGTTCTGATGTTCTACTGTTCTAATGGTCTGATGTTCTACTGTTCTAATGTTCTGATGTTCTAATGTTCTGATGTTCTAATGGTCTGATGTTCTAATGTTGTAATATGTTCTGATGTTGTAATATGTTCTGATGTTGTAATATGTTCTGATGTTCTAATGTTCTAATATGTTCTGGTGTTCTAATGTGTTCTAATGTTCTGATGTTCTGATGAAGTTAACACTCAAGTCGATGAGGGAAAATCGTTCCAATTATATTTAAGTGTTTTGTTGTTGTTTTTTTCAGTTTGTTTTTTGGCTCTTGGGACGATAAAAAATCTCTGATGTTTGTGACGTGAACTGTGAGAATCTGAACGGAACTAAATCCTGTTTGAGACGTTCAGGAAAACTCAGATGAAACATTTAAAGAGAAATAATAATGAGAGAACAGAGAGAACAAAGAACAGAGAGAACAGAGAAAACAAAGAAAAGAGAGAACAAAGAACAGAGAGAACAGGACAGCAGAAAAGAACTCAACACAAACAGACTGCTCCTGGTTCTGTCTCTCGTTTAGACCCGTTTTAGACCCAGTTTAGACTCCGTTTAGATTCGGTTCAGACCTGGTTTAAACCCGGTTCAGACCCGGTTCCGTCCCGGTTCTGTAAAACGTACTGTACACTGGTTCTTCTCACCGTGTCATTGGAGTTCCCCAGGAGCCTCCATGTCGCCACCGTCCCCGCAGACGAGACGCAGGTCCACGCGATCAGACCCGTCTCCCAGGCCTGGTTCTTCAGGAGGTCCACCTCGGTCAGAACCAAAAGAACCGACACCGCGAACGTGACCATCACCATGGCGACGAAGAGCGCGGCCGGAGCGGATCTGGAGACTCTGCCGGGGCCGTCCCGCCGGTTAAACGCCAGACCGACGACGGCGCCGAGCAGCAGAGACGAGCGGAGCCACGAGCACGCCCACAGACCTGCCGGGGGAAACGCCACAGAGTCAGATGCCCTCCCCGTGCCACGCCAACAGACCCGCCCACACCCACAGACCTGCCCACAGACACACCCACAGACCCGCCCACGCCCACAGACACGCCCACAGACCCGCCCACGCCCACAGACACGCCCACAGACACGCCCACAGACCCGCCCACGCCACAGACACGCCACAGACCTGCCCACAGACCCACCCATGCCACAGACCGCCCACACCCACAGACCTGCCCAGACGCCCACAGACCTGCCACAGACACGCCCACAGACCCCCCATGCCCACAGACACGCCCACAGACCCGCCACAGACCCGCCAACAGACACGCCCAACAGACACGCCCACACAGACCGCCCATGCCCACAGACCCGCCCACGCCCACAGACCTGCCGGGGAAACACCACAGTCAGATGCCCCCCCATGCCAGCCCACAGACTGCCGGGAAACCCACAGAGATGCCCTCCCCATGCCACCCACAGACCCGCCCACATCCGCAGACCCGCCCACAGACCTGCCCACAGACCCGCCCACAGACCTGCCCACAGACCCGCCCACAGACCCGCCCACAGACCTGCCCACGCCCACAGACCTGCCCACAGACACGCCCACAGACACGCCCACAGACCGCCCACGCCCACAGAGTCAGATGCCCTCCCGCCCGTGTGCATTTTTATATCAACGGTTTCCTCGTCACACACAAACACAAACCTGCACATTATTTACACGAGTTCTTCTCTCAAACTGAAAACACTCTGTTCCACGTTGTGATGTCATCATGTGGAAGTGCTCCACTGTGTTTTTAAACTCCACACTACTAGGGCCTGACAGATGTGAAGTTTTTTGCGGTTTTGCGGTAGTGATGTAAAAATTCACTGTAAATGTAAAACCGATTCTGAACCTCAGGTCTGACTTGACTGGATTTAAATAGTTTGTTTAGGCGACATTTCCTGTTCTGTGTCTTTATGTCAGATTTAAAAACCTGGTTTAGACCTGGTTTAGTCCTTGTTTAGTCCTGGTTCAGACCTGGACTAGACTCGGTTCAGACCCAGCTCAGACCCGGTTTAGACCTGGTTTAGACTCGGTTCAGACCCAGTTCAGTCCTGGTTTAGACCAGATTTAAAGACAGGAGGTCGGACTAAATGTATTTTTGCATCACATTTTAACCTGTAAACAAAGTAAAAACCAACACTTTCAGACTTTAGCGGTAAATGCTGCGCGTCACAGAAATATATGATGCACAAATGTGGATCATTCACACGTCAGTGCAGGTCCAGTCACATGTGCACACACTAGAGTCACTTCACACTAGAGTCACTTCACACTAGAGTCACTTCACACTAGAACAATGTCAGAAAACACACACAGACTCACACAGGCTCCTCTCGCATCACAAGTCTGAACGAACAAGTGTCACTTTAATCCTGACTCAAAACATCCGTCCTCCGTGTTCTTCTTCTTCTTCTCGGGGGTCGGGTCTCGGGGGCGTCAGTCTGAGCAGGGACTCCCAGACTTCCCTCACCCCAGACACTTCCTCCAGCTCCTCCAGGGGGGGACCCCAAGTCGTTCCCAGGCCAGTCCAGAGACACAGTCCCTCCAGCGTGTCCTGGGTCCTCCTCTTGAGGCGGGGACTCGAAACAGTCGTCCGTAAAAAGTATATTTCTACTGAACTAAAGGGAAAAGAAGCTGAAAAACGACTTGAAAACGACCACTTGATGACATCACAAGGTGGAACAGAGCGTCTGGAGCTTTGGAGATGTAGACAGACTCAAAATAAAGAGTTACTCAAACATACACAACCAAGAACTTTAGAACTTTAGAACATTAGAACTTGGTAAAAGCTCAGAAGAGTGCGTTTGTGTGATTCAGGATTCAGGTTCCACAGTGGGACATTAAACGGACATCAGACGGACTCACCCAGAAGCAGAGCGGACGCCTGCTCAGACCCCGGAGGGAGGAGCCCGCGGACGAAGCCTCGCGTGAGGAGCGCCGAGGAGACGAGGAGGTCCAGGAGGACGAAGAGGAGACACGAGCCCACGGCCACGACGCGCCGAGGAGACATCTCAGGAACGTCACGGAAACCGAACAAGAGTGAACGTTCAGCAAGACCGGCGTGTCAGATGCCCTCCCCTAGTTTAGTCCTGGTTCAGTCCTGGTTTAGACCTGGTTTAGACCTGGTTTCAGTCCTGGTTTAGACCTGGTTTAGCTCTGGTTCAGTCTGAGATTCTTGGCTTAGTTTAATTCAGATTTAAGTTTTCTCTCCTGGATTTTGTGACTGAAGTTGGATTTTGAAAAACATTTTGTGAACAGTTTTAGAAAACAAAATTCTCTACGCTCAGACAGATCCTCGGACCTGAAATAAAAACTCTACAAAGTGTCTTCACTTGGACCAGGTCTGGACTCAGGTTCTTCTGGTTCTTCTCTGACAAGTTTGTCCCGAAACTCCACAACCTGTTTGTGTTTGTTGTTCTAATAAAGGAGAAAGATGGGGGAAAAATCTATTATTTTCTATTTCCGGAGGTTAATTTCAGATTAAATGAGTAAAAGAGCAAAAAAGAAAAATCCAACCCACTCTGAAGAAGACCTAAAGCAGTTTTGTCCTTCAGAAACAAGTCTGGACAAAGACCCGGACCTCAGACGGACTTTGTTCAGTGACTCATTTACAATAAAGAGTCAGTTATTTAGATACGACCAAAAACGCGCAGGTAAATCGCCGGTAAAGGTGCGTGTCCTCGCGCTGGTTCAAACTCTGCGTCAGCCGGGCGTCCTTCAGCTCGTCTCACCGCCACTTTTTTACTTCATCGTGAAATATCAAGTCAAACTGAGACCCGCCGCGTTAGAACGTCACAAAAACACGCTTTAAACGCGTAAAAAAACAGGTAAAAACGTCAGGTAAAAGTGTGAAATGGGCTTAGCGCGAGCCGCGGCGTCCTGTGACGTACACGCCGGCATCCAAGAGCGTCTGTGCGTCAGATGATTACACGTTTGAACAGTTTTTTTTTTAACAGAAAAACAGATTTATTTGTGTAATTCATATTAAACTAGAGCCTTAAATACAACTGAATCTGTTTGTCTTGAGTGTTTGATGTAACGTAAGTCTTTGTCGTTTGTAAAATACTTTTGTTTAATGTTGCAGAGTGACACCTCGTCTCTTTCTTCTGATCTGCGCAGAGACGTTGTTGCGGAAGTGGACGCGTACGCCCCGCCCACAAACAAAGAAAAAAAATAAAATAAAATAGAAGGAAAAAATGTTAATAAACTGAAGAATCTTTTTTTTACAGTTTTATTGTGTTTGTTTTAAGGTTAAAGTTGTTAACATCGTGTAAAATATTTTTTTTAAAATATATTATTTTATGTAATACTGCGAGTTGTCAGTGACGTCACGGCGGTAGGACGGAACGTTCAGCAGTTGCCATGGTGAGGCAACACTGGTACATTTTTAAAGACTCAAAGTTTCAGGTTCACTGCTGTAAATTTTCTGGTCACAAACTCGAGTCTGTTTTGTTTCAGTCCTTCTAGTCTTTTATATAAATTCTCTAAATTATTGCACATTTCCCAAAACCGTGAAGACAAAAGCACTTTGTACGGAATTTAAAATATTAAATATGAATGTATTTATTTATTTATTTTTCTACATTTGTACATGTTTATTTGTATATTTTCATTGGGATGTATAAATGTGTGTTATTCATGAAGATGTTGAGAACCAGGAGTCTCCACAGGGATTTGTTTATATCATTGTATATTTGAAATTTTAAAAAAGAGGCAGCAAACATCACGCCATAAAAACTAAGAATAACCTAGAACTAAACTACGACGGAGTATAAAAAAAAAAACATGCTGGCACTACGAGAATAAAGTCGTAACATTTCGACATTAAAGTCGTAATATTATGAGAATAAAGTCGAAGCCAGAAAAAGTCGTAATTTTATGAGAATAAAGTCATAATTTTACAGGAATAAAGTCGTAATTTTACGAGAATAAATTCAAAGTTAAAATAAAGTCGTAATATTATGAAAATAAAGTTATAATATTACGAGAATGAAGTCGTAATAAAATCAAAGTCAAAGTGAAAAATGCGGCAAAAGAAGAAGAAGATTGTTTTTCAATATAAAACCAAAAATAAGAAAACGAACAACAATTTTCTTCATTATTTGCGCCTCCGGACTGAAAGAGGACTGAACCAGGACTGAACCAGGACTGAACCAGGACTGGACCAGGACTAAACCAGGACTGAACCAGGACTAAACGAGGTCTGAGACCAGACCGGGACTGAGACCAGGACTTAGACAAGGACTGAGTCCGGGACCAAGACTGAGACCGGGATCAGACAAGAACTGAGACCAGGATTGAGACCGGGAACAGGACCAGGACTGAAAACGGTTTAGTCCTGGTTTAGTCCCGATTCAGTCCTGGTTCAGTCCTGGTTCAGTCCGTATGCGGCGCAATATTCCCGCATCGCATTTTAAAGTCACGGAAACGCCATTTCCCATTTCCGTGACTTAAACCAGGACTAAACCAGGACTAAACCGTTTTCAGTCCTGGTCTGGTCCCGGTCTCAATCCTGGTCTTTCTGGTTTGGTTCCGGACCTGATTTAGTCCTGATTCAGTCCTTGTTCAGTCGAATGAACGAATGATACACGGATTCTTCTCCATTACAAAATGCTCCAAATTCTCCATTCTCCACTCGTTCAGACTTTCCGAGCAGCTGATATTCTGATAATATTACAACTTTATTTTGACTACGACTTTATTCTCATAAAACTACGACTTTATTCTCGCAAAATTACGACTTTACTCTAATAAAATTACGACTTTTTCTGGCTTCGACTTTATTCTCATAAAAATATGACTTTATTCTCGTAAAATCACGACTTTACTCTCGTAGCGCCAGCATTTTTTTTTTTATCTGACCCTTATACTCCGTCGTACTATATCTCATTTTATGATGCAATCTTCATAATTCATGTAATTCCAAGCAAATTTAACACCACACATTTTTTTAGTATTTCATAACGAAGATGTCACCTTTAAAAATATTGTCAATTGACAATTTGACAATTTTCAAATAATAATAATTTATAATCATTTCACACACGTGTACGGTGGGAAATGTGGTGTAAAAATCATCCAGTTCAGACGTTTAAAAACATAAAAGGAAATGTTCAGGAAAGTTTCTCTGAGTTCTAAATGTATCAAAGAGAATTTAGTTTGTTCCTAAAATAAACATGGTTGGGTTTTATAAAATGGCTACAAGGGCCCAATGTATCAAATATGATACATTTGTTATTTCTAAAATGGTCAAAGTTATCTTTTTTTTTCTTTTTGTTTGTCTGTTTTTTGTTGAAAGGTCCAATAATGTGTTAAATATCAAAGAATCAGAATTTTCTGTCTATGATTTCACATGTCAGGCTTTATAGGGCTCATAATCTACGGACTAAACCAGGACTATCCCAGGACTCACTCAGAACTACCTCAGGTCTAAATAAAAACTCCAGTCGTGCATTGCCAGATGGTCGTTTATTGTGGTTTATTGTGGTTTATTGTGTTTATTGTGGTTTATTGTGTTTGTTTAAATTTTTTTTGTTTATTGCTTCTGAAGAGGAGGACTGAGCGTGTAGGTGTAGTGCAGCGTTCCGCCCTTCTCCAGGAAACAGTCGTGTTTGTAGGTGCCCACTTTGACCTGGCGCTGGCAGACCCCGAGCAGGTCGTGGAACAGCAGGTCCTGATCGAACACCTCCAGCCGCAGCACGTCGTTCTCCTGGGCCTTGAAGTAGGTGAACTCGTCCTCCCACCACGGGTTGGCGTTGTTCTCCTTCACCGAGGTCTGGCCGAGCGCCGCCGGGCCGCAGAACACCTTCACGAAGCCGTCGGTGATGCCCAGGAGGTCCGAGGGCAGGTCGCTGGCACGCAGGTTGTAGATCTTCACCTGCGCGAAGGACATGGACGCGCCCAGGAGGAGGAGGAGCAGGGACGAAGAGGAGATCATGACTGAGGAGGAGAAGAAGAGGGAGAAGGTCGTTATTAAATACACATGATGCACATAAACACAACAGATTATCTTCGTATGATCAACGGTGAGTGACGTGTCCACAAATTAAAAACATTCTGACTGAAACGTCCATCAGAACACGAACCGAAAAGTTATGACTTAAAGAATTAAAATCATGAACTGAAATGAAACGGTTTCACTTTCTTCAGCACGAAAACGAATTCACAGACGCAACTCGACTGTCAAAAACACGACATCACTTCACAGGCAGAAGAAACACGACACGGACTAAACCTGGACTAAACCAGGACTAAACCAGGACTAAATCAGGACTGAACCAGGTCTAAACCAGGTCTAAACCAGGACTAAACCAGGACTAAAAAAGGACTAAAACAGGACTAAACAATGTCTAAACCAAGACTAAACTAAGTCTAAACAAAGTCTAAACTAGGAATAAACCAGGACTAAACCAGGTCTAAACCAGGTCTAAACCAGGTCTAAACCAGGACTAAACCAGGACTAAAACAGGACTAAACCAGGACTAAACTAAGTCTAAACAAAGTATAAACCAGGTCTAAACCAGGACTAAACCAGGTCTAAACCAGGTCTAAACTAGGTCTAAATCAGGACTAGACCAGGTCTAAATCAGGACTAAACTAAGTCTAAACCAGGACTAAACCAAGACTAAAACAGGATTAAACTAAGTCTAAACCAGGTCTAAAGTAGGACTAAACCAGGTCTAAACTAGGACTAAACCAGGTCTAAACTAGGACTAAACCAGAACTAGACCAGGTCTAAACCAGGACTAAACTAAGTCTAAACCAGGACTAAAGCAGGTCTAAAGTAGGACTAAACCAGGTCTAAACTAGGACTAAACCAGGTCTAAACTAGGACTAAACCAGGTCTAAACCAGGTCTAAACCAGGATTAAACTAAGTCTAAACCAGGACTAAACCAGGTCCAAACCAGGACTAAACCAGGTCTAAACTAGGACTAAACCAGGTCCAAACCAGGACTAAACCAGGTCTAAACCAGGACTAAAGGTCTAAACTAGGACTAAACCAGGTCCAAACCAGGACTAAACCAGGTAAACCAGGACTAAACCAGGTCAAACCAGGTCTAAACCACCAGGTCTAAACTAGGACTAAACCAGGACTAACCAGGTCTAAAACCAGGTCTAACTAAACCAGGTCTAAACTAGGACTAAACCAGGTCCAAACCAGGACTAAACCAGAAACCAGGGACTAAACCAGGTCTAAACCAGGTTTAAACTAGACTAAACCAGGACTGAACCAGGTCTAAACTAGGACTAGTTAATTTAGTTGCAGTATCTTTACTTTCTAGACTGTTCTGTTTCTGAATTATGTTTAAAAAAAATATTCTAAGCATAAATTCGAGTCCAGCAAAAGTGTAAAAGTCTCTGTGTGAGCGTCCGTCCTGCAGCGGTCGGACGTCGGTCGGACATCGGTCAGACATCGGTCGGACATCGGTCGGACATCGGTCGGACGTCGGTCTCGGGTCTCACACTATCACTGTGTGTGTGTGCAGAACAGAAGAGTGTGTGAAAGCAGCACGTGTGTAAACCTCACTATCTCACACATGTTCTCCACCTCAGCTCCTCTCACACTGACAGAAGATCTGGACTTTCTGTCATGTTTTTAAGGCACAGTTTAAGTCTGGATCTGCTCCAGGTCCGAGTTCTTCATTTAAAATATTTGACGGACAAAACAAAAATCAAGTGGATCCAAAAAAAAAAAAAACACTAGATCATCACAAACTCTTTCACACACTCCACTTTTTTACTGGGTGATGTAGGTGAAGTGTCTTGCCTAAGGACACAATGACAGTTTTGGACACTGGCGCCTCCCTGTGGTCTCCAAAACTAAACCAGGTCTAAACCAGGACTAAACAAGGGTCTAAATCAGGACTAAACCAGGACTAAACCAGGTC